TCAATCAATCGGCCTGAATACAGACAGTGGAGTATAAACTCCATCAGGGATATCGAAAACGGTATATTCCGCGCCAGGGACATCGCCAAAGTCCTGGTGCCAACAAGCGACCCCTTACAATAGCCAGCAGAGACCTTGTTCCACTGTACGCTTAGCACTTTCTCAAACATTTTGGTCAAAAGCTCCTCCGTCATTTCAAATAGGGTTCCATGCACTTTTCGGTACATCAACGTCACACTCCAGTTGACCACTCGGACGGTGCCTACATCATCAGGCAGAGGGAATGAACAACCCACTCACCAATCGAAGAACTCCTGGAACAAAGCTTGCCGTAGAAATTTTACCACCACACGGTGTCTTGATCGAACGAGCTACACGCCCACCAAATCCGCCAAGTGGACACTGAGCACCTGCACGAGCGCAACACCAAACACCATATACTCCACCGGTGTAGAAAATTAGTCAAGCCGAAGAAGTCTGCTTAAGTGGAGGCAATGACGACCCCATCCTGGAGCAGCTGTATCCTGTACCAGCAGGGTACCACACAGCTGGGTACGGAACAGTCACCCAATCACCGACTCTACGCCTCGCTCGTCAATTGAGGCGTGGGCACGTCCGCATCCCCTGGCGGCCAGCCAAGCTCCTCTGACAACACTCAGATTACGTCAACTTACACGCCGGTGTTCCCCAAGGCTCTGTTCTTGCCCCGACCCTCTACATCTTATACATCAATGACATTCCTGATCCTATTCATCCCACTTCATTAACTGTTATGCTGATGATGTCTCACCTTGTCACCAACCATTCCATAGACACATTATCACAAAGCTAAAAAAGAACTCGACGTTATCACTAAATGGGAGTATGACTGGCGCATTAGAACCAACTCTAACAAATCTAAAATCACTTACTTTTTCTGTAAAAGAACTGTACACCTCCTGTTCAACTCTATTCACGCTCCTAATCCTACTAACATTTCTGTATCTCCTTCCACCACAGTTCTTAGCCCACACTTGATCGACAATTACGCTTTCACACAACATCTATCATCTACCAAGATGTACAGCTCTCAACACCACAACCCGTCCTCGACTCAAGTTCATTAATTACATCCAGCGGCCGACCCCACAGACGCATTCATAAATTTATACACGCTGTTCATTCAAATTGGGAATTTTCTCAAATATAAATTAATATTATAATATATTAGCATCTTTGTCTGGAGGACGGGCTGCGACCGCTGGATGTAATGGACTTAAGTCGAGGACTGGTTGGTCTTAGAGGCGAGCTGAGCTTATCGTGATCTACCTAAGAAGCTTCTTATCCCCGATAATGAGACACATTTATAAATGCACGCCCCCTCTGTGCTCAAAATATTAAGACCATGAGTTCCATTTAACTACCTGTTATCTGATTAGGAGTACTGATAGCTGTCGCTTTTATCCATATCTCTATTTGAGAGGGTAGTGCAGCCAGCTAGCTCAGTAGGGTGATTGCGTAGGTGCAACAGTGTGGGGTTGCAGGGTGATAGCAATATCCCGTCCTATAGTCACCTTCCCACATGTGTAGGCGAGTGTATATCAGGACTAGAGATCGCTTCAAGTGCTTGTGTTGTGACGCAGTTATAAACTAGTATAGTAGACTTTAATTTTAACACCCAATTCTCATGAACCTTTCAAGAGAGCTGAAATAACTACACAAGGATATTATTGGTGCTCATTTGAGAAAGTTACTTAGAAAAATCAGTGATCTACATGTACTCGATGTTATGGTTAAATAAATGAAATGGAGCCCAGTGTGAATAATTTACAATGGGATTTATCAAAGACTGGAGGTGAGCTTTTTTTTAAAGTTTTGCATCTTGAGAACACGAGACTAACAGAATGTAAAGGGTGGGAAGGAGGATATCCCTTTAAAAGCTATTATAAAATTCTCGGGAATAATGGGGGGGGGGGTGACTTTGGACAAGCCGGTGGCTTCATGTTCCCGTCGAGGTCATTAGAGATGGTCGCCCTTTGATAAATTCAGGTGTCCTAGGCCCAATTGTCAGGCTGTGTGTGCTGTCCTTACACAGTCTCTCCCTCCCCCAATAACTTCAATTTTCTTTAGGTTCTCTACCACAAAATATCGACCTTTCAGTTTGTGAAAATTTTAATGTACATTTTATTTTTTAACCCACAGGGTAACGGGGCTGGGAAGGTACTTGCTTAGCTAGTTGTACTTACGGGGGGTTGAGCTCTGGCTCTTTGGTGATTGAGAGATAATAATGACTTGATAAGGGGCGAGGATGAGACTAAACACGGCCACAATTCATTTAATTTGTGGGTTTGGTCATTTATTTTCAGACGTGTTATTGAGAGTTATTATCTGCATGTATTATAGATCGTAGATATAGAATTATCTACGCCTGTCAACATTCACACTCTTACTAAAGATTCTAACTAGTGGGTGCAGTTAATCTGACTCATTTTTGGCCTGAAGAGGGTCTTCACAAGTTTAATTCCACTTCCCTCCTGATTATATCCCAGTCCTCATAAACAAAGGTCAAATGCTCGTTAATCTAACCGCAAAACCCCCTGTTTATGACTTTAGAAATGCTTTACACACGACTCATAACTGATGACGTTCGAACAATGTTTCACTGACGGACCTCTGTTTGAATCGCAGTTCTGTAAATGCTTAAATTCACCCACGTATTTTTTTTGTTTAGTTCCTTTATTATGCACCCCATACCCATCTTGTGGGCGGTAGTGGAAAGGGTTACAGAGGCACATAATGGGCTCAGGGACAAGAGCCCATTATGTGCCTCTGTAACCCTTTCCACTACCGCCCACAAGATGGGTATGGGGTGCATAATACCACGTATTTAAAACACAAATAATTGACAACCGAACCTAAACACCTAATCTAACCGAGACCTAACTGTAGATTTAACTCTTATACGTAGAATATAACCTATTTTTAATACAAACTGTTAAAATTGATGTATGCGTCTTGGGGTTGGCCGTCGCTTTAACGAGCCTAACCTGTGGACAGGTTGACATATACAATTATTTATGCTCATTTTGACCAATTCACACTAGATGCTTTATGCGCTCAAATTATTTCAAGGTAAAGAAAACTGAGATTCGACAAATAGCAAGAAATATTTTTCTTGTGGAGTGAGAACATTTGATAGAAAACGTAGAAGACTGCAGAACAGTAATCTTACCATATAATATATGTCTTATTCCCCCGATAGATTTACAATGCCAAAATATTATTCAAGATTGTTGTAGAAGTTTTTCATAAGTATATCAACTATAGCCTAAATAGTAGTACCGCCAGTTGTCTGGACCAGCAAAATTGTTTACGGATATGACATGATCTTAATTGTATGCAGACGTGACCGCTTCGCTGAGTGACTTCGACGACGATGACTTTTGGGACGACGAAGAGAGTTTTGAAGTGTCTGGTGAAGCCAGGGCGCTTACCTCAGAGGTAAATATTTTTTGCCTGTTGAGCAAAATACATTCCTGATAGATCTTGAATATGTTACCATAGTTTTATACATTATATGCAAACAAATGTACAATGAGTCGTGAAAGTAAACAATTGAAATTGAAATAAGTTTATTGAGGTAAAATACACACAAAGGGATGAGGTAGCTCAAGCTATTCTCACCTCGTTCAGTACAACGTGTTAATACATACATAAACACACATCACAAACAATAAACATATTACCAAACATTCTGAGAGATAAACATATACATTTCCTAAAAGTAAACATGTCGGTGATGTAAGTGGTACATTCTTGCTAAGTCACTAACACACACATAGTTTCATTTGGGTCTATAAAGGAAAAATTATGAAGCTGCTCTCCATTTTGTTGACAGAAATCGATCTGAGACGCGATCATTTTCTGATTGCTGTAATTTTTTTCTTACAAATAGGGATGAAACATACTGTTACCTATTATCACCCAATTCCTTGCGTACAGGAGATAGAATTCTAGGTGAATCGGATACTTTTGATATCGTTCGCCTTATGCGTTTTTGTTCTCGTATTGGCTTTCTTGGTGATATTTAGCGCCCTCTGATTATTTCGCACTTTGATGGTGCTACATAGCCTTCCCGGTTTGGTGCCTTCTTTTGATAATTACCTTACCTTGCGTACAGGAACTTGCACAACCACTGCACCGTGTAGAACACCTACCATGCTACGACCTGAGGGTGGCGGAGCTGGTGACGACGGAGCGGGAGTACATCACTGACCTAGAGACCCTCCTCCAGGTGGTCTCTCGTTTCTCCAGCAGCAAGCATATTGACCTAGATACTCTCCTCGGTAACATTCATCAGGTCGGTTTCATCTAATTCCTTGCCAATTCGCTACATCACATGTTGTAACACCGTAAAATTTGCATGATCTGACCTCAGGTCACTTGAGGCCATTAACGCTTAGAGGTGTGAGTTTCAGGTCGACAAACTGGCGCCTCTCAGATCCTTGTCTGTGACTCATGAACTACATATATTTTTAAATAAAACTAAACCAAACACCTTTACGGTGTAGTTGTACATGTATAAGTGAGCTGTATTTTGTACATTTCTGATTTGTAAATTGTCTGATGCTATCATCTCCAAAAGACCTATTTTGTTATTCTTTTTGGTACAAATTAGTCAAGCCGTCATTTCTGTTTATGATAATCGGTTCTATATTCGTTGCTATGAATTCTTTGCACATAATCAGGATTTTACATATATTATAAATTGTTTTTTTGATCTATAACCATAGTCTAGTCACCTTCAGCTAGTTCTAGGGAAATGCATAAAGTTTAAATTGCTTCTCATGTGAGAGTATCAGTAATAGGAGGAGTAGCATAATGGGTTCCTGGACCCATTATGTGTTTTTGTAACATTTTCCACTACCATCACTAGATTAACTCTACTTGGGTAAAGAGTCCACTACCGCGCACAGGTTAGGTATGTGGTACTTATTAAATTTTCTAATCTAGAAAACTCGTGCTAAGCAAAGCTTGCTTATGATAACTTATCTCCTTTATCCGTATAATTTAGCCCATCACATCTTAACCTAGTTGATTAATTATAAATATAGTGCAGCTTACGCAAGCTTGTTTGGTTCAGGTGCTGGACGTGGCCAGGAATCTTTTGAAGGTTTTGGAAGGCGATCAAGAGAGCTGTGACGATGATGTTCCGGTGGGGAGCGCGTTTCTGCAGTTTGCGACAGAGCTAAGTCAGGTGTACAAAATTTACTGCTCTGGCTATAGCGTCGAAGTGCTCCCTCTGCTGAAGAAGGTAATTAACTGTCGGTTCTGCGTCTTAAGCAACCCGTCCTCCTAAAAATAATGTCGCTTTTGGCTAGTATGCGCGCTATGGCCAAACACTGACGTAACTTGAAATGAAATCGGCTCACGAAAGTGATGTACTGTCCCGTTTTCTGTTTGGGTCATCCAGCTTAGTCTGTTAGGTTAGGAGAGGACACTTTCAATTAACGTTTTTCATGACATTTTGAAACTTTAGGACAATTTCCTGCCCTCCTAACCTACCAGAGGACCTTTAACTTACTGTTTTGGAAAAAAAAAATCCCAAATTTATTTTTTAATTTTTTGTAATTTTCAAATTACGTCAATTTCCGGTCATACGTGCAAACGGCTAAATTCAGGCATAATTTGTAGGACAAGTTCTAAAGTTCAGTTGTATCGGTTTCATTAGTTTATTTACCGGTCGGTAAGTAATGAATATGAACTCTATGAACTCTAGTGACATGAACTCTAATGCTTCTGCACAACACTTGCTATTCTTGTTGTACGGAACCCAGTGGGTGAGCAAATAAGGCTCCCTGTGCCTTGCCTCTCGGCAATCCCTATCCGGGATGTGAGGATTTGGTGTTTGGACCCATAAGAGAATTTCCCGGCCCGGGGACACAGTTACAGCCCCGCTCCTGTGCCAGGTAAGTCACTACGGGCTCACCATAGCCCGTGCTATTTGGAACATTTTGTTCCTAGTAGCTTAGAGAATGCTCTAGAGAAATATATATGTAAAATTTTACCAAACCCGACATGAGACCTGCACCAAATAAAAAAACTATGGCAATTGTTAGCCATGAGCATCATACCGCGCTGAAATGTTTATGATCTTTTCATGTTTGTCAATCCCAGAATTGTGCTTCGTCGTTAATTTTGGTATCACTGTGACCGCAATAAAATTCCCTTCACGGACATGTGCATATAAATGTAGAATCATGATCGCGGCCCACCCTCAAGAGTGTGTTAAGGGGCTGAAGTTAAGGGGCTCTTACGGCACACCAGACGGCAGATCGGCGAAACACCTTTTGAAAAGTGTATATTCTTTTCACTGTCCTGACCTTAATTTTCGATGTACGTACTTAATTTTTGTACCAATGTGTTAGCAATAGAATGTTCTAGAAGAACATATGTATAAAATGTCACACAAAGATGCGTTTGACCGGCACCAAATAAAGAAACTTCGTCGATTACACTCGTGTCAACATTACAATAGTTTTACCACGATGATACAAGCGAACTCCGTTCTCCTAAATAGGCTATGTGGCTATTAGAGAAAACAAACATTTAATGGCAAACATGCTTAAATTATCCCCAAGTTGATCGGACGCTTGAGGTGCATTCAAGATAAAATATATGTCCTGCTCAAGTGACATATGGGTGCTAAATTGTGCGCAATCTAAAGGCGCTCATTTTGAAACTACTACCAGATTGATCGGATAATATTTAAATTTTTAACAAATATTTTAATGAGTCACTCAGGGCCGCGTCGTCCGAGAGGAATCGAGAGAAAAATGAGTGACAAGAGATCTTGTCGCCAGCGCGCGAAATTAACATGTTAGTGGGACAGACGTAGTGTTTTGATGCTTGGAATCTTGACGATCACATTCCTGATAGAATGGTGACGTCGGTGTAGGTTTAGAGTAAAAGAACTTGGAAATATTTGCTTTATTACTATCAGTTAAAGTAAAGAATGTTAAATAATGCATTAAAGATGGATGTAGCTTAGCTGAAACTTGCATTTAAGATATAACAAACTTGCAAAGCGGTGAAATCACACTATCGCCAAAAATTTCCTGTGACCTGGGGCGTCGTGTAACAAGAAGCTATTGACCATGTAGAATAATCTACTAGACTTAAGGTAAGGTCTTGGTGTACCCTGCACTAGGAAAACAAAAAGACTGATTTAAGTTACTGGTTGAATATTAGTAGGTTAGTAACCCCAAGATAATTCATAGAATTCCCCTCACAGTACGAGGAGTCTGAGGAGGCCAAGGAAGAGCTGGCGAGGCTGGCCCAGGAACTGCAGTGTAGGCGGCCTCACCTCCTCACTCTCGACACCGTCCTTATCAAACCTGTCCAGCGCATTCTCAAGTAAGTCTTGCCTGCCGGGTAACCCGAGGGATACGTTGGAGAGGGGGAAAGGATGGAGAATCAAAGGGGGGTAGTGTAAGGTTGGGAATACGGAGACTATCCACAGATTCTAGGGCTACCCCCCGGATGAAAATCACCCCCAACGCACCATTCATACAACATGCATCTAACTTCAATAGGGCTCAAAATCATCTCTGTGATAGTAGTTCCTTACAAAAAAAAGTGCAAACATCCAGCTTGGGGTCACCCTTCTATCTTTTAGGTCACTAATAGCATCAGAAACATTGACAGGTGGGCCCTTTGAGGAAATAATGTCCCATATGCTTATCAGAACATTTGACAAGTATCCCTGTTTTGTTACTCTATCCTTTGGGGATGTATTTTAATATCTCAATAAACTTGCTTGAACTTAGTCTGAAAATGCAGCACGATATTTTTAATACACTTTCCTCCTCCCGGCAAACGAGAAAAAAAAGTTAGTGCAAAGTGCTCAGCGTTAATGGTGATCGAGCGGCAACACTGAAAAGTGTACACTCTTTTCACTGTCCTGACATTAATTTTCGATGTGCATATTTCATTTTTATACCAATGTGTTTGCAATAGAATGTTCTAGAAGAACATATATATAAAATGTCACAAAAGCATGAGTTAATCCACCACCAAATAAAGAACTACGGCGATCACTAGTCGTGAGCTCCAAACAGCGACGAAATGTTTCTATTCTTTTCATGGTTGTCAACTTCACACTTGTCCTACAGCGTTAAATTTGGTATCTCTAAGATTACAATAAAATTCTCTACACGCACATATGCATATAAATGTAGAATCATGATCGCGGTTTACCCGCAAGAGTGTGGGAAGTGGGTAAAGTGTTACTCGTTACGGCACATAGGCGAAACCAATATTGAAAAGTGTGTATTCTTTTCACTGTCCTGACCTTAATTTTCTATGTGCGTATTTAATTTTTGTACCAATGTGTTTGCAATAGAATGTTCTAGAAGAACATATGTATAAAATGTCACACAAGGATGCGTTAGACCGGCACCAAATAAAGAAACTTCGTCGATTACACTTGTCGTGTCAATAATACAATAGTCTTACCACGAAGATACAAAACAATTCCGTTCTCCCATATAGGCTATGTGGCTATTAGAGAAAACGTAAATTTCATGGCAAACATCTTTATACTATCCCCAACTCGATCCGATAAGAATTGAATATTATAGAACTATTTGTTCGTCAGACATAAAAATATATCGCGCGCTCACATTCAAGAGAAAAATAGTTGTCCCGTTTTTGTGTCCGAATAGGAGGAAAGAAATAATATTAAGATAGTCGTCAAAAATTTATTTGTTGCTTCATATATACGATCTCGTATGTGACCAAACTGCAGGATAACTCCATGCTGAAGTGAACCTTCGAACTTGAGACGTTCAATAAGAGGCTAAACTTGTTAACTGTGCTGACCTAATGTCGGTAACCATTTTGCGTTTAATATCCGTTGCAGGTACCGACTGTATGTGTCGAAACTTCTGGACAATACAGCCAGCACCGACCCTGACTACCACGACCTGCAGAAGGCCAGCGCCTGTCTTCAAGCTGCCGCCAGGGATGTCAATGAATATACCCGAGGCCTCGACCTTGGTAAGTGTCCCAATTTGACTGTGTACATCGTTTGCTCGTGAATTGTGAATAATTAATCCTCCGACTTCACTGGAGGAAACTCCTTATCAAGTTCAAATAAATAAATAATAATAATAATAAATATGTTTATTCAGGTAAGGTACATACATACAAGTGATGTTACATTAATGGATTGATATATAGATAGAGCTAGTACATACAATGCCTAAAGCCACTATTACGCAATGCGTTTCGGGCAAGAAAAACATTAATATCTAGAACTTAATACTAATTGAGCATAAAGAATAAAAAGTGTTGAGAACAAATACAAATAAAGATAAAAAAAAGGGGGAACACGACTGAAAAAGCAGCACAAATGCAATAGGTTGACAAACAGTGTTGATTAAAAAAAAATAATAACAGACATGGGTTGACAATAGAGGAGTGAGGTAGGTTACAGGGAATTTATTAGGTAGTGTTTAGTTTTTATCTTAAACTGGTTGAGAGAGGTACAGTCTTTAACATGGTTGGGAAGGTCATTCCACATTCTGGGTCCCTTGATTTGTAGAGTATTTCTAGTTTGATTAAGACGTACTCTAGGAATATCAAAACTGTATTTATTTCTGGTGTGGTGCTCGTGGGTTCTGTTACAACCTTCAATGAAGCTTTTGAGGTCAGGATTGGCATTACAGTTCAGCGTTTTATATATGTATAATACACAAGAGAGAATGTGCAGTGACTTAATATCTAACATATTCAGAGATTTGAGTAAGGGTACCGAGTGATGTCTGGGGCCAGAGTTGGATATTGTCCTAGTAGCAGCTTTGTGTTGGGTAATAAGAGGACGTAAATGATTTTGGGTAGTAGAACCCCAAGCACAAATACCATAGTTGAGGTATGGATAGATGAGGGAGTAATAAGTATTGTATTGTATTTGTATTTGTGCTGCTTTTTCAGTCATGTTCCCCCTTTTTTTTTTATCTTTATTTGTATTTGTTCTCAACATCTTTTATTCTTTATGCTCAATTAGTATTAAGTTCTAGATATTAATGTTTTCTTGCCCGAAACGCATTGCGTAATAGTGGCTTTAGGCATTGTATGTACTAGCTCTATCTATATATCAATCCATTAATGTAACATCACTTGTATGTATATACCTTACCTGAATAAACATCTAAACATCTAAACATCTAAATCTAATAGATATGTTTATTCAGACAGGAAAAAATACATCTCGAAGGGATAGCAACATAAATATAGAATTTAAGCTCTCTTAGGCCTAATACAATAATTTTATAGTATATGCTATACTAGCCTTAGGAATAATTGGTTGGATGGGTTGATTTATTGGCGCTTTCGACCAAATAGTTGCTACAAATACTTAAAATCAACCCATCCTCCTGAAATAAGGCACACTATCTAGCAGCCAACAAGCAAGTGGACCTCGGAACCCCCCACACAACTCTACCTGCTTATATTTAAAATGTAGCCCAGTGATCAGTACGGTTGGTTCTCAACTAAAATGGTCTCGGGTTCGATTCCCGGGCAGGAAGAGACATGTTGTCTTACTTGTGAAGCCTCTGTTCTCAGAGTAGTATATACAGGTACCCTTGGAGTTGATCAGGTGTTGTGGGTTGCGTCATGGCAGAGGCTTCAATCAGCATGACATCGGGATTTCTGTACCCGAAAATGGGGAAACTATTCACAACATATTCTAGGAGCGAGTTATGTACTGTGTGGCATTACAGTGTACAAGTACAGGGAGGATGTGGACCACTCCCTCAGCGGCAAGATGAGACGGGTCACCCTCCATTCCATCGCCAAGAAATCTGCAAGAATGTCTACCATCCTTTCCCAAAAGCTGGGCATCATCAGCCAGGTATTTTGCCGTAGATTTAAAGTCTTAAGCCTGAAAGCCCTTTTAAATTTAGTAGATGGGATAGTTCAGTGAATACAAAGTGCTAGTAGATATATTAAGGCTAAATTTTTTTTTAAATCGTTGAAATCGTTCTTAAATTTGCAATTTTCACCTACCAGGTAATTTAGAAAAATAATCTTAATTATGTTGAAAAATTAAAATGTCTGTAGTAGAGCGAAACACATGGGGGAAAGAGATAAATATTTAATAAATGAAAATAGTAAACATCGAGAAAGTAGCAATTATAAGCAAATAAACAAGACGTAATTGAACACGAAATAACAAAGTACAATTAAATTGCATAATGCACAAATAATAAATACTGTACACTAGAAATGAATTTAACCACAATGAACACGGAGTAAAGAGGCTATGAAGTAGCCTCTAAACTATATTGAAAGCCTACCAAATTCCCCACCACAGACCACGAGCACAGGCTTCGACGAGGAGGAGGCCAAGTTCCGGAGTGTGGAACAGGCGGCGAGGTCGCTGGTGGACCACGCTACGACCCTCCTGGAGGCGGTGAGGGCCAGACACACGGCCGAGTTGATAGTGTCTGAGGGACTGGCCGAGATCCTTCCCAATGCTCCCAGTGTTCAAGCCATCAAAGAAGCCACGCTAGACTCTTGCAATAGGGTCCTACAAATGTTTGTAGGTTTCACATTTCATTATATGGTGTAAACCAGTACCAGCTATATTTCCATCTTGATATTTTGATAACACGATATCACGATAAGCTTCTAACTTATTTGTTTCTTAATAAATGATATCAAAACAGTGTTTCATGCATGAGAATATTAAATGAATATATAATGTATAAATTAATAATGTAGTGACTCGAATCAAGGTTATTATGGGATGTTATTTAAATTAAACTGTTAAGGTTGTATCGTGGGGAAGGTCAGTAGTTCGACCTTGATGTGAGACATCGATAAGAGCCTAAAGTATACAGACACAAGCTTCCTGTCCCTGACACAACGAATTATTATTTAAAGTAAATGATAACGCCGCTTGTTCCTCCCCAATCGTCAGGACAGAGAGGTCCAGGAGCGGGTACTGCAGCCTGCAGTACAGGTGGGGACGCTGTGCGCGGCGCCTGCCAGACTCATCCAGAAGCGTTACCACAAGAAGCTGGATTATGACGCAGCTCAGGCTAAACTGCAGATGGCTAAGGACACCAACGTCGCTACTGTAGCTGTGAGTCCTAGTTCGTCATGGGGGGAAGCCTATCGTTACCTGGGTTGCCCCCATCTAATGACTGGAACAAATTAATGTATTTAATAAACAACTACAACGTCTGTATATGTAACTGCTCTTCTAAAGCTTAATATTTTCTTTGTGTAGGTGCGTGCAATGAATCATTAGCATTATTACTTGGGTTTTCTTAATGACGTTACGATGTCTTAACTGTACACATTTTCCCAGGAGGAGGAGGAGGAGGAGGAAGACACGCACGAGACTGGGGATTATGAGTCGCTGAACACACTGTTGCTGGAGGAACTACCCATCCTCACCCATTGGGCCACGGAGATGCTCACATTCGCCATACGCTCCCTCGCCGCCTCTCGCCTCTACCTTCAGGGACACCTCGCTAAGCTTTACCTCTTGCTGGCACAGGTGAGTTTGACTTAAGCTCTTCCATCCTAATGCCGAGTGTTGAATCTTCTAGTTGTAAAGTGGACTATGGTCTTAGTCAAGTTGTTTATGCGCGACCTCACGTCAGACTTCTTTGTCTAATTCTGTCCAGAAATGTATTCTAATGGTCTTTCAGTTGGTGAGGGCTTAGTTAGGGCTTTAATTAGGCTTGATTCGGTAGCTAAACAGGCATAAACATGCTAGAGTTTAATCAACTTAGGATCAACGTCGATTACGTTACGTGAACGTGAACATGTTACAAGTTACATGGACGTAGTTTGGCTAGAATTGTTCAAGAAAGTTTGTATACAATTTGCCACTGCTTTCAGATTTTAGGAGTTTGTTCTCAAAACTACTGCAATCATACAAAGTGAGCCGGCTCTTTCATATTAATAATTATGTTATTGAGGAGACTGGCTTCTTCCCGTAGCTTTAATTTTATTTATTGTTTTAGTATTATATTTTACGATTTTAAAAATACATTTCCTTCTCCCCCTCTCCCATTAAGGTAAATGTAGGCAAGTACTGTGGTGTTGTTGACTCTTGGGATCTGGGTTGCATCTGGTGATTGAGAGTAGAGTTTTACTGGGGCAGGGTTACGTCGTTTGTTGTAGAAGAAGTATGTGATTTTGGACTTGTTGGGATTTGTTTTTATCCGCCAGTCGTGTTCCCAGAGGGTTACTTTGTCTATTTCTTCCTGTGCTTTCCGTGTGAGGGCGTTAATCGTGTAGTCCGAGATCAGTGGGGTTACGTCGTCAGCGTAGCAAAGGGTCATTGATGTCCAGTATATTGGGTCAGGAATGTCGTGTATATAGAGTATGTATAGGGTTGGTGAGAGAACTGAGCCCTGGGGGACACCTGCATTTAGGTTGAAGTAACCTGACAGCTTGCTGAGGAACTTGATCTGCATCTTTCTATTTGTTAGAAAGCTGCAAAGTAGCCTCTGCATGTTGTCAGATAGTTGAAATAGAGTGCAGAGTTTGTATCGTAGGCCGTCGTGCCATACTGTGTCAAAAGCCTTTTCAACGTCCTTTGCTATGAGGGCCGTCTTGGCCCTCTGGTGCTTATTTATGGAGAGGTAGTTTGTTATTATGTTCAGTGCGTCTTGTGTTGAGCGGTGTTGTCTGAAGCCAAATTGTTTGTCTGCAATATGTCTTTGTGTTCTAGGTGATTCCTGAGTTTATGATTAATGATTTTTTCGTATACTTTCCCTAGTGTCTTTAGTAGGCTAATCGGTCTGTAGTTCTTAGGGTCTGTCGGGGATTTTGGGGGTTTTGGAATGAGGATTGCTGTGGCTTCTTTGAATGGGCTTGGGAAATATCCTGATGCTAGTGAGGCGTTGTGGACGTCTGTGAGTGCAAAGATTAGGGGGTCTGGAAGTTGCTTGAGGAGAGCTTGGCCAATGCCGGAGGCTCCTGGGGCTTTTCGTCTGGTGTTCTTGAGCATGAGTTTAACTTCTGCAGGTAGTATTGATTCTGTGAGGTCGCTTTGTAAGTTGTCTAGTGTCGTGAGGTCAATGGTAGGGTAGTGTGTGATGGCCTGAGGGTTGTGCCGGATCCATGTTTCTACTCTGTTTATGTTTTGTATTGCTGTTGGCTGTGGGGGGTGGGGATTGAAGATGTCCTGCCAGTGTTGTTTAAATATGTCTACTACTACTGAGGGATCGGTGTAGTTTTGATTGTTGTGAGTGATGTATGTAAAGACAGAAGAGGAGGGGTTACCCTTGATCCTCTTTATGAAGTTCCAGAATTGTTGTGGAGATGTTTTCCTTTGTAGTTCAGCTACGATAAAAACATACGATAAAAAGATTAGTCTCCTATAAATTTGGCTGTGAAAGATGTACCAACATGTCAATCTCCATTAATCAGGAGCCGCTGTTGGAATATATCGACCCCATTGAGGCAAGAGAGAGAGCAGAGCATCTGGTTGAGCAGCTCCGGCTCCTCCTGCCATCAGATTACCACAAGAAACACTCCTGGGATCATCACTACAGCAGAACAAACGATGCCAATACTAGAAAAAATGAGAAAGCTGTAAGTTACATTAAAATATATATTTATAATTGTTTTTACTGTTATAATATTGGGAGGTTATGCAGAAGAGCACTTTTTCCATAATGAAAATTATTCAGTCTGACACCACTATGCTGCACAACTCCAAAGTGATATGATATGGCACCAGTTGAGGGCCTCCAGACCTTTCCAGTCGATTCAGTCAAGTTCTGGGTTGAATAGCTTTTGTCCTATTGTGTCAGTTAAGGCAAGTGTTGGAGTCACTAGAACATTGGTTCAAGTCACTGCATTGCTCCAAATTATTTTTTCATAAAATATCCTTATGTGCTGATCATCTACAGAAGATGGAGTTGTCTTCCCATGTGTTGCTCTCAAAGACTCGGCTGCAGGCAAAGAAAAGTGCTCCAGAGAGCTCCTCCAGTACCTTGCTCAAGCCCTCCAGAGTCTGTAAGAGTGATCCCACGAGAGCCATGGATACGCTCCGCAAGGTAAGAAGTCACTTAACTTTCCTGACGAGAGAGTACTGATAAGATCATGGCAAATCATCTTATTCACTTAATACCTGACTGCATGTTGCTTAGAATTAAGTGTGCTAAGCCAGTATTGTCATTTAATACTTGGAAGGGATATGAGGACATAATAAGAGTCAAGATACCTGTATAATGGAAAGAAGGAACAGTACCCAACCTCTTAGACCATTGGGGATTGAATACCAACACTGTAAGAAGCAAGGCTGGTGCTCCACTGACCAGTTCTCCTCACCCCCCTCCCCCCCCCCCCACCCACACGTCGACCCCCACATCCCACACTGCATTCCTTGTAGATACTGACAGGGATATAAAAATACAAATCTGTTCCTTGTCACAGGTTCAAAATAAGCCATCATGACATCCAATAAATTTGGCGATCCAAAGTTTGTTTAGTTAAAATTCTTGATGTATCTAATATCTTCAATTTTTATTGCAGAAGGGAAAAGATAGAAAGAGGCTAAGTTTACCAGTGGAGTACTTGAAAGGTGTGGCCACCACCCTGCAAAGTCCGCAACACCCGGTCACCAGCACACTTCCTACATGTACGCCAGAGGTCAAGGTGTGAGCATTAGTTGACATAATTATAGAAATTGTGATTACTAGTTAGTATCTTGACCTGAAATGATTTAAACATGGGGGTTCTATTGTACAATGCTATGTGTGGCTTTGAAATAATGTACCATTTCCAAAATCTGCACAACAGTACCTTCAACTATGTATATGAAATGAGTCATTACTAATGCAATTAACAGTACTAAAATAAATAATAACAACAAATATGGGTATATCATTTCCATTTTCTTGCAGAGAAAAGATGTCGTTCTGGGCAGCTACCCGAGAAATAGCCTGTATGTAGCACAGAGGGCTCACGTAAAGACTCGGGACAATGAAGTTGCCCTGACAGCTGGTCAAGTGGTTGCTGTCCTCAAGAAAGCTGACCCGAGTGGTGATGCAAGCTGCTGGGTAATCAATGATGGAGGTGGGTTGATCAATGTGATCATCATACTAGATGGGGGTACCCGGCTGTACATGGGTCTCTTCCTCCCCACTTCCCTTTGCACCTTCCCTCTCCTTCCTTCTGGACCCTCTACTTCCCTCTAAGAAAAAGCAATATTTAGCTGTTTCAGTTCTTTGTTAAAAAGTCTATGGCAAATAAGTAACCTTTATTTGAGACTTCATAATTGCCTGGAGGGAGGGGTTTTTCAATATTTGCCCATACAGTACAGGGGAACCTCAATACTCAAACCCAATTGGTTCTTGAAGGCGGGGAGGGTACTCTATCTGTTAAAGTACTGAACAATTTTTTCCATTAAGGAATAATGTAAAATGGATTAATCAGTTCCAGACCATAAAAATAAATATATTGATGCAATAGATAAAATGAAATAAATGCAAATATTGTGTACACTTCATCTCACCATTGTCACAGCTGTCACCGATATTTATCAAGAAAACGTTGCACTTTTCCCCATTTTGCACACATTTCTTTTATTAGAGAACTAGATTTAGGCATACCCAATGCAGACATGCGGGAACTACTTTTATATTTTGCTATGCTTTTTTTTTCTTTCTTTCTCTCTTCTTTCATCTAAATCATGGTTCTAAATAATTTTCTCATTGCTTGGCTCTTACACATTTTTAGATGTGATGGTGACTTATTTACAATAAGAATATACTGTACAAGTAAACACGAGAAGGTTTAGAGAAGTCTAGTGGTGGTGTGCACTGAATGACAGCTAGTAGGAAACCGACTTGTCTAGGACACATGTTTACTTTTGAGCGCTAAACAAGTGGTCGACTATCGAACATGAACACAATTTGATTGGGGGTGAGGGAGGGATCCCTGTTAGAATACCAAGGTTCCACTGTATTTTTTAGTGTAGCATTAGGGCCAACTGGTCTATAACACTCAATGTGTTGTGTTGGAAAGTTGCAAGCCTCTGGTCTCCAACCTCAGATATAGTACAGGGTACCTGGAGGTGCTCAGGTTAATCTCTCTCCTCCCATCCTCATTGAACGCTTTTCTTTCACATCTTTCCCTTGATCCCTTCCTCTCGGAAAATGTATTATTAAGGTGGACTGTAACAGCCGAGTGAATCTCTTATTCCCTCACTTTGTCCTTCCTCTGTACCCCTCATCACCTTCTCAGAAAATATATTAAGAAATTGTGTGGGTAAATGGGGAGTAACTTTACACAGTAGGGATATGACATTCCTGATCTTATCCTGGAATAATTTGACCGTGAAAATTGCTTGGGGAAAGGGAAGGGTGGGTGTTTGCATGCTATATTTCTTAAATAATTTAACTTGGACCTAACCTGACCAGCCTATGTCCATCCCATATCAAAGACCATTTCTTCTACAAATTTGACATTAACTAAGCGTGTGGGCCTCCAACTTTTGGCATTCTCGTATACAGGTGTATAGTGTTATACACTTGTATATTTCTTTAAACTTGGAGATGTAGGCATGTTCAAATGTATGATTTCCACATACAAATACAGAAATACAGTTCATATATACAGTATCACGATCTATAGCTATGTATTTAACCAAGCATTTTTATGTTGATAATATAAAAATGCAACTATTGTTTTATGTATGTATAGACACGCATACAGCATAGCAGTAATATCTATAAAGTTGTACAAGTCAGATATGTAGGTACACCGGCATAAATGTTGGACATTTTGTATGAAGTTGGATTAGGTAACTGACTCGATAAACCATAGTGAACATCTAAGGGAGAGGCATTGGTTAAAAGTATATATGCACCCACACTATGGAGTCAATGAGTATTTAGCCCTCAACTATTAAACAGCATGCAAACCAAGAGTACCACCTTATACCTACAGTATTTACTAAAGGCAGATACTGTATAGTATATTTGTGTACTGCACAAGAGTAATTAATGCATAGGCAGATATTTAAAATTGTTTTGTTGCAGAGAATGTAGGCTTGGTGAGTGCCTCTTGTTTAAGAGAACTGGAAGGTCACAACAAGTGGAATGGAAGAACCACCACAGCAACTTGTCAAAATAATACCTTGGCCTGCACCACCCCAGAGCTTCACCTGCAGTCAACACTGCCTGTCCCACAGTCTGAAGGCATCGACTTACAATCTGCTTCGCAAGCGCTTAACCTTCCTGTGAATCAGTCCAAAGTCTCTGAACCTCTTACTACAGGCTATCAGAGTCTGGATACCAACAGCAGCAGCAATAATTTATGTAATGCTAAGGAGGAGCAAGTTTCTGGCTCCTACCCATGCAGTGACCCTCAGGTAATATACTTCATACAGTATATATAATTTTACTGTGCTACAACACTTGTGCAAGTTTTATCTCTTGCAGTGTCTGAATATCTTAAGTATTATTAATAAACAGTAAACTATAGATGGGTACATTAAGTGATTACAACTTTTTACTTCTTGACATGTATGGAATATGTTTCCAGGTGTTTGTGGCCCTCTACGACTTTGTAGGTACTGATGAAACACAGCTGAATATGCATCGTGGCCAACTAATTTGGCCAATTAGCATAAAGTTTCCAGACTGGTGGTATGTGCATGATGATAGTGGTCATGAAGGCTATGTTCCTGCAGCCTTTCTTCAGAAGTCTGATGGTGGTCTAGAAAAAACTAGCAAAATGCAAAATTCCAACATTCAGAACGTAACTACTATTCTTTGATAATGGACTAACGTAAAATATACCTGCCCACCTCAAAATGCTGTAAATCAACTAAATTGAAGTAGCCATCACACTCAAAGCAGTTGGGAAAGTGATCATGGCCGGTGAAGAAACCAACAGTAGTATAGTATATTATTGGTAGTATTGTTTAACAATACAATCTAGGTCACAGTGTGTATAAAATAAGAGCAGTAGTGGTGACAAAAGCATTGAAATTTAAGAATGAACATGTTAATGCTCCTTACTTATGATTCATACCGTACTATATCTTGGTTACATTTTAAACGTGAACAGGTAGTCCATACCTGAAAGTGGCATGAACAACATGCACTTTAAGAATACAGTAGTTCAGTGTTGCTGCATTAGTTTAACAAATGGCACAATTTAGTGTTGTACCTTCATCTTGTTGCCTCTTATCAAGACCAGCAAATGAACATGTTAATTTATTTTTTGGCCCACAATTGTGCAGCTATCATTAATAGTTGTGTAAATACCTAATATCACTATCCATAATGATTCTGGAAAACGAACAAAATTTGAATTTTAAGCAAATCCCGAACAGGCCCATACTGTTATCCAGATTTTGGAGATGCCATGGTACAGTAGTAAATGTTAAAAAAAAAAAAATTGGCTAATAAGTTATGATAGTTACACATAAAAAGAGACCATTACTGTTCTATTTGAATAGTAGTTCTACTTTAGGGTAATCTAATTCTAGTTTTATATTATAAATTTATTTACTTTTACTGCAGTTTGAGCTTAAGATACAGCTGATTAGAAAGGGGTAAATATTTTAAAATTGTGTATAGACTGCCTTTAAATTTGAATAAATTATACAGTACAACCTGTTAAGCTAAACATTTGGTGGCATCTTTCTGAAACGTGCTACAGTATATCACATTTTGAATCATTACAATCACTATGACAGACACTAACATGAACATTAAATGATATTTGGTCCATTACACTGTACTCTTGTAATTTATTGTTTTGGCTCAAGTTACCCTTATAGCTCTTTTAATAGCACTTTCTCTGTAACTAGCTGACATTGTAACTATAAGGTGTGAAGGATAGATGAAATTGTTTATGTAATAATCTAAGATGAGGTCTGATAAAGACCTTTTGTGTGCCCTCTGTAATGCTTTTTGCGCTACCGCTCACAGGATGGGTATGGGGGTCCACAATAAACTAGCTGCCTCTGGCGGCAACAATCATCAAATCACCCTTATATAAAGTCCATTTACAAAAGTAATAACTGGAAAATCACATGACACGTGTTAAGACACTGTATATTTAATGTTTGCTCAATTTGAGAAATACATTTGTTACACATTCAACAAGTTTTAAACATGTTAAAATTACTTAGTGGTTTGGCTTATCAGGTTCACATAATACAAAATTAACAATGCAGTACCTTAATTTACCTAATTATTAATGTTCAGTATCTAGGACAGTTATTTCTTCCATTTCGGGAAAGCTTTTCATTCTCTTACTGCTCAAAATCAGTAGTTTATTCAAATTTAGCCTTTAAAACAATTTTATGGTTAATAATTGTCAGTACATAAAAACTTTAGCTGAATGTATTACACAATGTTGTCATCAGGGGTGTGTATACAGGTATCAATGTTTGACCCATTGACTAATAAATATCAAATCAACAAATAGTTTATAAGAAAGTTAAATTTTTTGACAAGCACAAACATTACTTAACATATCTCAACTACCTAAGATCTATAAAAACATTTACTAGCTTCTCTCAAGTACAATACGATATGATATGAAGCAGGGTAACCTTAATTCTAAATCGGTTACTCGTATATCAAAACCCTCAATTAGCCACAAAACCATGCAGATTTATTTTCTGCTGATAAAGGGCCATTATGACTATATATTACTTCATCTCCAAGCATACAGTTTGCCCTCACTGGCTTGTCTGTGTTTCTACAGTTGTGAGGTAGCAAGCCACATTTTTTCCAGGAATTTTAATATAGCATTCTGTACAAACATCATTCCCCATAGAAACCCCTACTGGTTTATGAATTGCTTGTTCCATCACAAATACTGTACTGTACAATGAACACGTGTACAGTATGAACAAAATTAAGGAAAATTTGTCAGGCTATGCCACTGAACAGATGTGAATTCTACTGTTGAACATCAACCATTGCTTTATCTAACAAGATTAAAATCTCCATACATTACATATTAATATAGTAATGCTTTAAAAGCAATCGAGACCCAGCTTTTGGGAGAGCCATCGCTGGTTTCCAACAGACTTAAAATACGGTGGAAAAATCTTAAGTCCATTGACGTTTTTAATATTGTTAACCAATTTAAACAAAGTGTCAATCACTAACCAGTAGAGTTTTTATACAAGATGAAATCCACACTTATGACAGAAGTGTGTGTGGTGATTGCTGAAGAAAATATTGCTCATTTTCCCATAAAGCTAAACTTCATTCAAGGGTTCTCAAGAATGGCTGTGGAAACATGTGCGCCCAGGGATTATACCCCTTAAATACACATATTTGTACATATTCATCGAATATTTACATGATAAGAGTACACGTGAAACCCAAGCCATATACCCTGGCAACTTCAACACTACTAGTTAATAAGGTCATGCAGAAATTTGGTTTTATTGCTTGGTTTCACATGCCTATGTTTATAGTATCTACACATCTGAAATGAGGATGAAAGGATTTTCGCGACATCATATGCTAACACAAACACAGTAGCCGAGGCCCTACAACTTTACAACAAATATATATATAATCTCTATACCTTCCAACAAGACAATTACAAAACTGCTTATATATATATATATGCCAAGTAACATATCTAAGCAAGATATTGTCAATTGAGGTACAATAAATGCACCATTTTGTATACACTATTGTGTATCATTCTTGGCTATTTTGATAAAATTTTAGTCACTAGCGGAGAAAAGAGGATTTACTATTAAAATGTAAGTGGTAATTTGTATTTCAAGTCAACTTTCATATGCAAACAAAACTATGCTTGCAAGAAAATTTATTTAAAAAATATAAACTGCTGCAACTGAAATGAACAACAAGTAAAAACAATACCTTACTAAAAGCTGCACTGCTGATGCAATTACTGTATGTCCATATTTAAAAAAGGTCTAGCAAAATAACAATTGTACATATTTTCTTATGTAGTAACTTAAATCAATTTTCTAAAATATTACACCAATTTGTTCATCAGACAAAAATGGAAATCTGACAATGTATCAGATCAGGTATTTATGACGTCCTCAAGCAAGACCCCCTTAATCACAATACTATGCCTGGTCAAAATTGTATATATACAAATATATAGTGTATATCTCTCTTCCATGTAAAAATACACAAATTCACCTCTGGAGGACATGGAAGTATCTTTTTAAAATTTGCCAACCATGGCAAGGCATGAAGTCATTGAATACCTTTGGAACACCATTCTAAAGGAGAGTTTCATGTTGCAAAGAAGTCAGTTCCTTCCAGTCCTGCTTTGCATTCCTGGCCGAGTTGCTAGTGCCAAGGCCCTGGAGTCGTAAAGTTGAAGGGCTAGTAGACCCGGTAAAATTTATATCGAGCTGTGGGTTATATTCTACCTTTTCTCACATTTTGCTGCACTCTACGGCATCCATAGCAATTTCATTGGATGGTCGATCCACGTCACCATTAGCATTAGCATTAATGTTCATTTGCTCAAGTTCCTTCTTACTAAGTTCATATACCAGCCCAGCACCAATACTGTCGCCAAGAACGTTGATCATAGTACGGAATCGATCACTGAAACACAAAAATACAGTGTTGAATGTAATGGAACACCTCTCTATTAGAGCCCCGGTGGCTCCCTGTAACTATTTTCCCGAGATTACTCCTATCTAACAGTCAAATTAATTGCACAAGTTCATTTGGCCTACCAGGGACCAGTGCCAAAACCTGGTCACTTCACGAGGCACAGGGAGCAAATGACATTCCACCAGCAAACTAGAGAAAATCGGCAAAGCTTTACGGACAACAGGTGGGTTCTCAAGACTTTTGTGATTTAAAGTGCTAAATACTCTCCAAACCAAACAAAAACACAAAACTAGCTAAAACCAGAAAGTACCAAGTGCTGCCCAAGCGACTAAGCGCTCACTCCAGTGTCTGCCCACACATCAGTTCAGGAGCAGATAAACACTGCCAAGAACCAGTGAACATCAAAAGTAGGGAGACATGGAGCCATAAGGGCTCTGCCATAGAAAGGCATTTCATTACATTCAATGGTGGGTTTCCTGTACCTAAATACTACAGAAAATTGGAGGGACTTGACAGAGGAGGAGGAGGCAGCAGCAGGAACCAAGATGAGGCACCAACACCTGGGAAACCATGACTTGGAGGGGAGGGGGTTGGGGGGGGGGCCAACAAAGGACCGAAGATGACCCGAGACACTGAATAAATACCTGGATGCCATGACCGTGTTAGACTGCCAAACCCCCCCCCCCCTTTTCTCCCCACAAGCCAAAATATCTGCCAAAGCATATTTGAAAGACCACCGAGTGCACCATGTTTGCCATCATTGGTGACACACTGCAAGCTATCTAGTCTTTATGACATTGGACAACCCAAGAAATACAATCCTTGGAACAAGGGATGAATGAGATGATAAACCCAAACAGCATTCACCAAGGCTGAGGTGGCAGGATGCAGGAAGTGACAAATTGCTGCCACCTGACAAATGATGCACCCCCAGCATCAACAACAGACTCCTCCAGAAGCCTGCTGACTCATTCTTCACCAGAAAAGGAGAACACTGTTGAATATGAAGAAAATACCCACAGGACAAAAAAAAAAAAAGTACACCACTGCAACAACCAGAGGCAAGAGCCACCAAAAAACACACCGAATTAACAAAAAATACCAAGAATAATCCATGGGCATCCAAGGGCCCAAATTAGGCCTCCCACAGGATGAGCCTTGGGATGGCTCTTAGCTTTAGACGCTCTTTAACTTGCCGAAAGATGCGACAAATGAGCTCTAGAGCGTTACTCTAGGCTACGCACCAGCAAATAAACTGATGTGTAACTGGACTGAGCTGAGCTCTGGGCTGCCAAGAGGCATCATTCGGGGCTTTTTGGTTTTAGCCAATTGTGGATTTTTATTTTGTTTGGAGAGCTATTTGGCATTTTATTTTAGTTTGTCTTGGGAACCCAGCAGTTGTCTGAAAACCTTTGCCGACTTTCTGGATGTTTTCCAGGTGAAATGGCAGAATGTCATTTGATCCCTGTGACTCCTGTGAAGGGGCCAGGTTTTGGTTCTGGTCCTAGGTAGGCCAAATTAACTGCTTCTTTACCACTGATGTGACAATCAGAATAAGAGATCAGAGTAACCTCAGCGAGATACCTACAGGGTGCCACCAAGTGGCTCCCCCAGAAAGTTATATTAACTACAGAACATTATAAAAGGCATAAGCAATTATTTACAAAATACTAAAATAAAGACTGAAATATTATGTATACTGTAATATTCAAGTGCATGTACTCTAATGATCCAACTAATTTTCTTCAAATGTTCTTACCATGTACCTGTTAACTTTTCAATTTTGTAAAATTATGGACATGTAAAATTTGATGGTTTGAAACAAAAATAAAATAGATTAATTTATTTTTTTTCTTTCTTTTGAAGATGCTTAATAAAATGATTTGACCTTCCCAACAACATATCTGAGCATTAAATCAAATGGAAGTTTTATGCTCCTTTGAAATAAGGATTACTTTTTCCATTTAATAGCAATTCAAAAAGTAATTTAGTGTCACTTTCAATAACCACTAAAAATATAATGATGAAAATATGACCAGATGACTATTCAAACTGGGGAAGGAATTGAAGTGACCTGGGACGGCAAGGGGAAGGAATTGAAGTGACCTGGGACTGAGAACCACTTGTCTAGAAACTCTTGGGCTCTGGTGGGGCAAGTAGAGAATTGTATAAATATTAAAATTAAATGATTAGTAGTAACAATGGAACACTCACAGCAGCCAGTCAACAGCAATGATTAGAGTCATATCTTCAGCAGGGAGCCCTACAACATCAAGAACCATCACCATGGTAACCAGACCTGCTTGTGGAATACCTGCAGCACCAATAGCAGCTGCAGTAGCAGTAATACTGTTGATAAAAAAAACAATTAAAATAAGTACTAAAAGAAATGCTTTAATTAAACTTTTAATTCGCATTAAATAAAAGTATTTTTTAGTGCATGTGGGATTATATCCTGTATATAAATACTGTACTGTACATTAGTAACAAATGAATTACAAATTGGGACATGCATGCTGTGTAACAAAGATTTGTTACAGAACTCTACTTTGACATTTTGTATAGAAGCAAAATAAGCAGAATGGTATATTACTCAATGTGTGATCATTATTAAAGCATAAAACAAATTATATTGTACTATAGGCTTAATTATACAGTGGAACCTCTATTTTCGAATTTTTCGGTCCTCTAGTTCAATTTCTTTGAAAATTTGACTCTGTACTCAAAGTTTGCCTTGGTACTCGAGTTTGTTGATACACGTATGGGCTGTCCGAGCACATGGTGCTCTTCAGTTTACCAGTGTCTCCCTCCTAGTGATGACAGCACTAATTCTTTATGAAGAATGTCCTAGTTTTATGGTTTTTTGGTTTCTGAACACAAGTTTGTATTATATATCACACCATTAGTTCCAAGAAAGTCAGTGGTAAAGTTCAACCTAAGAAAATAGTTGAGAGGATGACGATAGAGGAAAAAAATGAGATCATTCACAGCGAGTGTGATGTCTCGCCACAGACAAGTGCTAAAAAGTGGGGGAAAAAAAAGTTGTCTAAACAGATTCTTAGAAAGACAAGCAAGTTGTGAGCCACAACCAGGTCCTAGTGGTATGCCTGCAAAACGTAAGAAAGTATACCACAGAAATGTCATCACTGCTGTTATAATGGAAGGGGACTCCCCTTCCAAACATTAAACGTCTCATCTCACCCTCACCCTCCTCCTTTCTCCTCACCCTCATCTCCACCCTTCTTCACTCTCTTTCATATGCCAACAAGAGTTCTCAATTAAGGCAAGGTACCTATGAATATTATTCTGTATAAAATATATTTTTTAGGTAATATTTTTGGGGGTGTAGATTGGATTAATTCAACTTACATTATTTCTTATGGGAAAATTCATTTCAGTTTTCAAATTTTTGGTTTTCAAATATTCTCTGGGAACGGATTAAATTAAAAAACCGTGGTACCACTATACTCAATTCCTTCAAACAACGTTATGGTTCCCGGGTTAAGATGGGATATACGTAATGTCTAAATTGGGAACAGATGGGCCTTCACAACTGAAGGTAGAATAAATTGGGTCTTGGGTTCTAAACTTTAAATACACAGTATTTGCAGAAGAGTGGTTGTGGGGTAAAGAGGGGTTTGACAAATCTTACACCCCTAGTTTCAGTCCAACATACCTTAAATTTACTTTACAGCTTTGTTGCAAATTATATTCCATAATTTTTTGCATTTTCATGCACTGGATACCAAGTTTTAATAAAATAATTAGTACAATTTTACCTGATGGCAACAACCTGTCCAATTGTGAGAGCTATGCCTCTGACTTGTGCAATAAAAATGGCAGCGACAGCCTCATACAGAGCAGTTCCGTCCATGTTGATTGTGGCACCAATAGGAATGACGAATCGGGTAACGCGAGTATCAATATGGTTTTTTTCCTCAAGGCACTGGAAGGTCACTGGCAGGGTTCCTGAGCTGAGATGGATTTCTTCAATTAATGCTGATACAACAGTAAATACTGTTTAGTTTAAATCATTTATGGGTCCCATACCCATCCTGTGGGTGATGGTGGAATAGGTTACAAAGGTACATAATAAGACCCAAGAAGTGAACCTCTAAAATTCCTTTGGCTAAGTTAGTTACAGTCTTCAACTAGTTACATAGTCTTATGTTTATAAACAATTGATTAAATAACAAACCCATCATATATTAATACAATGCTAAATTAAATTGTCTACTAAATTAATTAATATGACATTTTAAACCAAGTGTTTCTGTAAAGACATAACCTAAAACTATTACTGTTCTTAAACTGACCTGGAAGCAGTAGCAAAGGCCGTGATATAGGCCTGAGTCATGTTGGCAAGAAAACGGAATGGCAATTTGCGAGTGAATATAGTGTAGAGAGCAGGGAGGACAAGGAAACCGTGAATGAAGATACCCAGGATGACGGTGCCAAAATACATGCCAAGTTGGCCAAGCATGACACTGAAGTCCTCCATTTCAATCATCATGGAGGCCACCAGGAAGAGGATACCAACTGGGGAAATCCTGAAGTAAAAATCATAGAATCTAATCAATAATAAATAATAGTACAAATTGCTCAAGATGTTATAGGTAAAAAAAACAATGTATGGTTTCCCATTGGCAAGGACCCCCGACCCAAAGATGAGGTTGTCCATGTCATTACAAAACCAGTAAGAACCAGCAATATTTAACCAAATAAACAATTTTTGCTAGCACTGATTCTCTGGAAGCATTAATAAATTTAAAACAGAGCAATAATAGTATAGAAAAGATCATTGAAAAGTAACATTTATCATGTCAAACTGACCACAATATAATTTGCATCTATGAAGGCACTGTTAAGTGCCATTGCCTTCATCTGGATTAGCTCACCCTGGTTACACATCAGTTTAGCTTGGAAAACTCCTTACACAGCCCTGTGAATGGCCATTTAATATTATTTAAATAAACATTAAAACAGAAAACGTTATCAGCCGACATTTTACAAGCAAAACACTAGTTAAGTACAGTATACTCTCCTCTTGTATAGCAAAAGGTGCTATGTTGACTCACCAGATAAGCCAGGAGGTGATGACCATGGAAGCATCAGAGAGGGACTGGAAGAAGGCTAGGAGTGGTTTTCCTTTCGCACCCAGCGTAGACAGAGCCAGTCCCAGGAAGGTAGCGAAGCTCACCAGCCCCATAATGTTTAAAGCACGAGTGTGTTCAGACGATATATCCCACTCAGACTTGGGGGGCACTGTCAACATGGAGAACATTTACCCTTACTATAAACTTTCTTTTATGGTAACCATACAAAAGTATGATATGATGAAGTTTTCAATGAATGTATGTGTGCGTGTATGTGTAACATTACAATCTAAAGGTTAAAATAATTATTTTAAATGGGAATATATATCAATTTTGATTGACAACTTTAGTAATACATTAAAGTATAGTCATTGTGTGTGTGCATGCACATTTGTGTATTTCATTGTATATTCTGTATACACAATAGCCAAAAATGATTTCCCCTGGCAGTACCAGAATCTGATTTACATATACAGTATCTAATAAACTTTGATACAGCCCAGCAGCTGATGTTCTATGAGTGTACAGTATCTAATGCTACAAGTACATTTCAACTAAATGTTTACTTCCCTAAAAATTAAGCAAAATATTTATTGTAATATATTAAAGCTAAAAAATAGGTAAATACATACGAAAATTATAAAGTAAGAGCTGAAATCTTCCAACTCTAGCCATACCACTTCCAGCCTAAGTAAAATTGTGTGTGCTTATGGTAAAGAAATTTTTTTTACAGAATACAATTTTTGTTCACTTACAATGTATATATAGTAGTTTATGTTGTGTTTTAATGACTTCCTAATTATAATTTAAAAAATACCTGGCTGTTTGCCATTGCATACTATGCAAAGAATATATATACCTGCTTATTTTGATAGATTTTTTTTATTTTATTACTAATGTAATTACAGATACACCTCTAGATCAATCATTACAGATGTAACAAGGACGAAGCTAAAATGCATGGGCAAACAAGTACAATTTTGTTCATGTTACTTTTATAAAGTTACTGTTGTGGCCAATCTGTTCAATCCATGATGATCCTGGCAATATATCTCCACAAATTTAGCATTACAACAACTAGTAGCATCCTGCAGCAAAATGCATTGCAAGGGTCGGCAGGGCACGAGTGAGGGGAAGGAGGACAGAATTTTGACATGGCAACGTTAACATGCTTACTATAATAATATTTATTTACAAGAATGTGTGTACAAAGAACATAAGAGTAATGCAAAATTGTAGGGACAGGAGTTGCACATACTAATACTAATGAAGCCACCATTATGCAAAGCATTTCAGGCAAGACAATTTAAACTGCGTGATGAAGGGGGGGGGGGTAAAATACTTAAAACTAAAGGAGAAGGAGGAAGAACTAGTTATTTAGTGAAACTAACAGTTTTACTGGTTATTGGAGAGCTTTTGCTATACATTACACACTAATCTGAAGAATGGGACACAGCCAAAGAAAAAAGATGGGTAGAGCTTGACAGTCACTGGGAATCATGCTTGTCGGGTAATAAATAATGAAGCAGTGATGATTCAATCATAATTTTTGTTCTAATAGGTTGTGCATTTTTAAATCCGCTTTTCATTTCAACACAAAGGAGCCTGCTATGAAATTGCAGGTAAAGTTGAAGTAAACAAAGAATTTCAGTTGGAAAGTTGGAACGTGATAAAATAAGCCAAGAATAAAATCTGAAGAAAACTTAGTCAGGAGACTACATTTCCTAACAAGTATATAAATAAGTGCTTTGGTGTTTCGTCAATACTCAGGAAGTACACGAGTTTGTTTCTACATTTAATAGCCTAATTAAGCGTTAATCTAAAATTAAACCATTGCTACAATTGGATTATTATAGCTTGTGCATGTGAAGAAAATTTGTGCAGTGCAAATAAAAGATTATATAGTGAAGTCCTTAAGTGGAGTTGCAGCTTACATTTCAAGAAGTGTCATAGGCCCCCACCAGGCATGTGCCAACGTTGTATTTTACCGAGATGTGTGGCGCCATCCCGCGGTGCAACACAAGAGGAGAGAACCCAAGTAGGCATCTTACAATCACAAGCAGCCTTCCACATAATAAATCTACCATTTATCATGAAACTAAGCTACAAAAAAGGTAGGATTTTGTAACCTAGGCTATAACCATTACCAACAATTTTTGTTGTTTCTTTTTCACTACATATGGTAGAAATTTGTTTAAGAGAGCGTGACAATACATACATCAGGCATAAATACAGATTTGAACATGTATATGCATATATATATACTTACGATCATCCTCCGTCAAGTTGTATGAAAGAAAGCCTGCAAAACAGGGTTAGGGTGTAGGCACTAACAATAATATTTATAGGCTTTCCTCCAGGTCTGACAGACAAATCTATTAGCACTTTTTTCAGCAATACTGTTGAATTCATTATCATCAATAATTTTAATGTGACACTGATGTATTAAGTGATAAAATGTCGATAATAGAGCTTTTATAAGATTGTAAGAGACATGTACTGCGACCATGAAGTTTAAAATACGCAAGTAGGATAAATAGGTCTCCTAAGGACCACTTTTTAAAAATCTACATGTGCATCCGTCCTGCTCGCGACGTTGCAGTGCGAGTTGGAGAGGAAAAGGAGGCTGACTATGAAAGATATAGCATTTGATTTGCAATATCTTTCCAGCCGGCAATTGACACCCATTCATTCCCAACGCTCTTTCTTGGAAAATAAAGATAATAAATAGAAAATAAATAAATAATCTAAATACGGCCTAACCAGAGCTAGATATAACTGAAGAACCACACCAGGTGTCTTGTTACTAACGCTTCGATTAATAAATCCCAGTGTCCTATTTGCCTTATTACGAACATTCATGCATTGATCCTTTTGTTTTAAATTCTTAGTAATCATAACTCCCAGATCCCTTTAGCAATCCGACTTTGCAATCTCAACACCATCTGGTTCGTATCTTGTAAACTATCATTACCTAGCCTCAAAACCTTACATTTGTCAGCATTAAACTGCATCAGTCATTCTTTTGACCATCCCAAAACCCCACCTAGATCGCCTGGGGAAGGGGGGGGGGGCGAGTTCATTCTAGAGGGGAGTGATATCAGGGGAAAGCACAAAGCCATTACGACTATATAACACTTGGAAGGGGTCAGAATACGGATTTGGGATGGGACGGTGGGAAGGCATGGTGCCCAACCACTTTGACGGTCGGGAATTGAACGCCGACCTCCATGACGCAAGACCGTCGCTCTACCGTCTACCAACCCCTCATTAAGGGGGGAAGGGTTGTTAATTAAGTACTCTGCTGTGCTTCACGGCTGATTTACTATAGTTGCAACAATAATTGTAAACATTTGTACGCGCGCACGCGTGTACTTTTACATATTTGCACGGTCAAACATTAGTCCCTAATATCCCTGCCTTTCCAGCTTCCGGTCAATTACTTTGTTAAAGCCGCTTTTTTAATTGTTTGCGATCTTTACTCTTTGCCAATTTTCATTTATTTGTAACAATTTTTTTTTTTATCTTGATCCTGACGAGTCTTTCATAGTTTCCATCATGCGATGGTGCAGCGCAATCTTGCAACACTGTGGCTTTGCTAAACTCTTCCATCCACTGCATTATACAGCAAACCGTGTGTGCGTGTGCACACTGTGTGAGGAGAGGCCTATTTACCCTACAAACGTATCAAACATTTTTTACCCAGACAGTCTCTGCTGTTGAAGCAGATAACTAACATGGCACATTTTAAGCTTTTTATCGAGGGAAACACTGCTTTAAATTCTCCGAACAAGAGTATAAGCTGAAAGGCTTCACATGTAAAATACAACATTCATTAAGGAGAGATTAAGCAGCAGCCGACTGCTCCCAGAGGTCTGGCAGCAAGTCTTACAAAGTTACTGAAGATACCCTGAAATAAATAGAAGTTATATACCATCATTACCTTCACACAACTACTTCCAACCACCACCTTCCATCACTAATACCACAGTCTCAGCAGCAGCGACTACACCGGAAACTCGAGCGACAGAAAATGAAGACTCCATTACCATGAACACGTTAACACTTTGCAAGCGATGAGTCACAATAACGTGGCTAAAGTAAGTTGACCAGACCACACACTAGAAGGTGAATCATTCAGTGGTTATAATAGGAGCTGCCTCGTATGGGCCAATAGGCCCTCTGCAGTTCTTATTCCTACTACTATCTCCTCTACTACACTTTGCTCCTCACACCTCTCTAGCCTATTTATTATCTGCATCTACTTCCTCTTCACAATCGACTTGAGAATGGTCCAGGACGGACCGAAACGTCGTCGTCCCTTCACCTTCTAGTGTGTGGTGTGGTCTGGTCAACGTTAACACTTTTTTAAGCAGTGTGTTTAACTGATGGCTGGATAAGGAAGAGATATTGGTGAGTGAAGGAGTTGCCAGTATCGAGGCATAGAGGTGCGAGGCATAGAGGTGCGAGCCACAGGTAGAAGTAGTGGGCAGCAGAAGTGCAACAGTAGTTGTAAAGGAGCAACAGTGGCTATAAAGGAGCAACAGTGGCTATAAAGGAGCAACAGTGGCTATAAAGGAGCAACAGTGGCTATAAAGGAGCAACAGTGACCAGTGTCATCGGTGGCATCACCTACAACGATGAACTTTTGCTTCACGACTTTGCCAACTACTTACATGTACCCTCAGTCCAATTATATTTTCTTTTCCATGATTCTTTTCCTGCAATGCAAAAAATTGTTTCCGCTTTAATATGTAAAGTAAATAAGAGGGTTTACCATAGCATGCAGTGGGGGAAATTAAGGTGTGATTATGAAGACTATATGGTGTAGTTTACAGCTAAATATTTTTGTTTGCGATACATGCATGTATCGCAATTCCATTTAGCAAGTACAAGCAAGGACAGTACTTTTGTTTACACACGCAAGCACGAGTGCACCAACACACAGCTGCACGCAAGATGATACTTGTGGGAAATCTCTAATAGGTTGCCTGACCACCCCACTTCATTCTCACGTTTAACCTTTATTTGACGAGGGACTTAAGATCATATTTCCGTTCGTTAAACTTAATTCTATCCACTTTCCTCCCAACAGCCTATAATTACTTCCGACCCAGAAACTGATCTCTACGACAAGACTGTACTAGCGTTTCAAGACTCCCAACCATTTCTCAACAAGATTATATATACAAGATTAAGGTTGCGTCTGGGATCCTCTAGGACGTAGGTTCGAACCCTCGCACGGCCCTTGTGGATTTGTTCATTATATATATATATATAGTCGTACCTAGTAGCCAGAACGCACTTTTATGCCTACTATGCAAGGCCCGATTTGCCTAATAAGCCAAGTTTTCCTGAATTAATTGTTTTTCGACAACCTAACCTACCTAACCTAACTTTTTCGGCTACCTCACCTAACCTAACCTCTAAAGATAGGTTAGGTTAGGTAGGGTTGGTTAGGTTTGGTCATATATCTACGTTAATTTTAACTCCAATAAAAAAAATTGACCTCATACATAATGAAATGGGTAGCTTTATCATTTCATAAGAAAAAAAATAGAGAAAATATATTAATTCAGGAAAACTTGGCTTATTAGGCAAATCGGGCCTTGCATAGTAGGCATAAAAGTGCGTTCTGGCTACTAGGTACGACATATATATACCGTTTCGCGATCTTCAACCCATGTAGGTATGAAAATATATTTCATCCGACAATACGATATTACCAAGAAAATTATGTTGGATTACTTAAAATAATTACATGTATTTCGGATAAATCTACAGATGGCATTTCATTGTAGAATCTAAGTGAAGGGGCAGTGAAAGCTTCATAATTGTAACTGAGCAACGCGTGTAAATACAAAAAGAGTTGAAAGGCCACGTTGAAAGGTTCTTGCTACTGTAGAGTGGACAGACCATCCTCTAGTGTACTTGCGTTCACGCAAATGAAGTTTAGGCCACTGCTACTTTATAGGTGCAATAATGTACCACATTCGCCTTTAACAAAAACGAATTATTTATAGAAAAATACGAAAAAGTCATTCTTAGCAAGAGCTTTTAATATTAAAGGTGGGGGGGGGGGGGGAATCTAGCACCTTTTAAATTCTTAGCTATGAAAATGTGCAGCTAATGATTAATTAAGACCCGTACAATGGGAATGAAAGTTAATACCTTTATTAAAATTACCTTTGTAATTTCCCCGTATAACTACCGTCGGGGAAACTTAACAACACGCCCAACTCTTGGTTTAATTGATAAGTTTTGCTTTTTTTATTTTGGCTTTCGTAACAAACTTTGGTCTACATCCGTGGTGAGCCGGCGACAAAAACGTGGCCGCGTAGTAGGGGACGCGGGTAACCCGAGACAGGAGACATGTGTGTACCAGTGACAAAAGAAACGTGGGTTGGTGACTAGCAGTTGTCCTGGTACATCGCATGTGACAAGTGTGGGAATACGGCCAGGGCGGTGGTTCACGGGGAGATGGGTTAGTTCTCGGTTGCTGTAGGAATGACAGATGAAATTGTTTATGAAATAATCTAAGATGAGGTCTGATAAAGACCTTTTGTGCCCTCTGTAATGCTTTTGCGCTATCGCTCACAGGATGAGTATGGGGTGCACAATAAACTAGCCGCCTTCGGCGGCAACAAGCTATAGGAAGGAGTCGGGAAGAGGGGGGAACGTTTAATAGAATGGGAGCCTATGAAACGTCACATGTAGAACGCCAGTGAAGCAATAGGTCATCCAGGCACATGTAGAGAGAACTGCCATTTAACACGTACACACTGAGAACCACCATCGAGCAAGTATACCCTCATCTACCCTTACACAAGCGATAGCATAACAAACTGACATATCTCCATGAAACATGACACTAACAACAATTTTAAAGTAACTCCGGGTTAACAACCTGGATAAGAAACACTGTTGAGCTTAACCATTGTGTCTGAGCCATGTGGCATTACCAGGAGTCGAGAATGACTAGTCCATGCGACGTATTCACGCGAGACATTGAAATTGAAATTGAAATAAGTTTATTGAGGTAAAATACACACAAAGGGATGAGGTAGCTCAAGCTATTCTCACCCCGTTCAGTACAACGTGTTAATATATACATAGACACACATCACAAATAAACACATTACCAAACATTCTGAGAGGTAAAAATATACATTTCCTCCCTCACAAGGAGTATGGTATCAGACGTACACACAAATACTTTTATGACCTAGGTATACTGTATAGACAATTTGCAAGACACCTGCAGATAATTCAACAAAATATTACAGTCTTGGTGCAAAATTCTTATATCTCTCAAGAATATCATCAACCTTTCCGTTGTGACACATCCAGGCTATTTGTTCAGTAACAGTCCTTATCTCAGTGTTTCTATATACACTAATCAACGGACAATCAAGAATATAATGGGCAAGGGTGTGAGACCTTAACATACCACATAGTTTACACTTCGTGTCATTACCATGAACATCTATCCCATATTCCCAGTAATATTTGTACCCAAGCCTGAGCCGCATGTACACAGAGTCACTCCAAGCATTTCTCCTTTTACCATAAGTGAAATGGGTGTTTTGACTCACAACGCGAGACATTGTACCTTACCTTGAGGTTACCTTGAGGTGCTTCCGGGGCTTAGCGTCCCCGCGGCCCGGTCGTTGACCAGGCCTCCTGGTTGCCGGATTGATCAACCAGGCTGTTGGACGCGGCTGCTAAATTACGTATATAACATGATTCATATTTTAGTGAAATATTCCCCAATAGCATAACGGATATGCTGAAGAGTCTTAATTGCTCTGATCAAACAGACATTATCAACACTAAAAACTCCAATACACTTTATAATTTAGTGACTAATGTAGGTTATTCACGCGACGCCTGTCAAGGGGGCTTGTATACCAACAACTGCATTAGTATACAGTATATACAATATGCAACAGAAATCAACATTTATGCAAATGCATGGGATAACTCAGAGCTACACTGACATACGATGTTACACAAGGACTATTCGTCCATTGTAGAATATGCAAATTAAGGTTAGCGTGTCATTACATGGTGGATGATTATCAATTTTAATTTCCGCAACTGGCGATGATAACGCAGTGAAGATGAGGAGAGGTGTCAACAACCAGTGGAATGAATGCATTGACGCTGACGACTTTTGTAAAGACGCGAACTATACCGAGAGGACAATGATAGAAAACGAGCCACAGTGATAATGAAAGCACTGCCTGCTAAGATTTAGCTCTTCAATATCTCGATTACTGCTGCTGATAGTGATAATCGTACCAACAGCGCAGCTAAGGGGTGTAACGACCGTGATTATAACATACCTGAGAGTGAGTGATGACGGTAACATGATTATCTTAAGGTCGGGGGAGAAAAGGAGAGCGCGTCCTAGACAAGTGCAGGAGAGGCCGAGAGAGAAAAAAAAGTGGTGCTTGGATAGATGAAATGAAGAGGTAGATGAAGTACGCGAGACAAGGGAGGTACTCACGTGTGCCATTCTCCATGTCCTCTAGCTTGGGCTCTATGATGACCGTTTTATACTGTAGAGAAAAAACAACACAGGTTAGGCAGCTACAACAAGAACTTTACTGTAATCCTAAACTTTTCAAGTATGCTTGAATCTTCAAAGTTAAAGACGAGAGAGACAAACCTACCTTAAAAATATTCTGGCAATCTATAGGATTCAAGCCCCCCCCCCCCCTCCCCCAGACCACTATTGCATCAATATCCATTTAAGTATGACCCAAAACGAGGAATTTATTCAGTGTACAGTTCCTGCAAAGATGCATGTTCAGAAATGTCTTCATGTACCTGAACTAGATTCGTGCATTATATAATACATATAAACACAATATTTGTTATTCAGTGGTAATTGGCTTAGACTACACATTGCATCTAAAATTGCACATGTACCGTAATTAAACTGGCTCACACTTGACCGACACCTCTACAAGATCTAAATTGGGCAGCAAGATGCTTATTTGTGTAATTCTCTACCACCGAGTCGCCCAATAATATTATAACGTTGATCTAGTCCGTTATGTCTGGAAACCTGCTTCATTGTATACACATCTAAGCCGCGGTACTTCCTCAAGTCTTAGCAAAGAATCTGTGATAAATGAATGCTGTTTCTGTGTAGAGTAACTTTCTTAAAAGACCGACCATTCGAATCAAGATATGACCTCCGTGACACAAATACCACTTATCAGAGTAGTCAAAGATCTGAGAAAAATGCGTCATCAAATGCCCTTTTGCGTCATCGCTACTCTTATAAACTACCTAGTATACCCCTTATCTGAAGACTGTAATCCCTTTAAAAGGCAAAAAGTTTATTAAACGATTGCAAGGAAGCACATCTTAAAAGTCCTTAGCCTCCGCGTCAAGCGAAATACTAGTTATAAACATATGTAAATATTTACAAATGGTGACAATCTTATGGAACGCCCAGGTCCGGAAGTGTTAGAACTATGCTAAAGAGCTTTACTATGGTAAAGCCTCCTGGTCTATGGAGGTCTATGTATGACCAGGCCTCCTGGTCGACGACCGGGCCGCGGGGACGCCAAGCCCCGAAAGCACCTCAAGGTAACCTCAAGGTATGGTATACAGAAGAACACAGCCTAGTCCGGTGTCACGCTATATTCTGGTTGCCTCAATGTTTCCTTATTCTTGTAACAAATAGTCTTGCAACCCGTCTTCACAATGCATATAAATGTATACGTTATGGACACAATCATACAGCTATTCTTGTGAAATGTAAGAGACTCATTTTGTACATTATCTTCACGTCTTCGTTCATATATTATAATGGGAAAAGAATGTCAAATTAGACTTATGTAATGGTTACTATTACGTAAGGGGAAACAGGGTTGGCCGCGCTGCTCTAGTAATGTTGAGGTAATGCCTATCACACCATAAAGATCAGGGATAAAGATATTAATCAACATTTACCGCTTCTCGATAAAGAAAATTGGGATACGATTGTCTCGTTATTTATAAACGCTAAATAACGGGGATCTAAGCTAAATAAATAATCCTCGCTAAATAACGAGGATTCTAATAATGTCAAATCAGAGTATGTCGACCTAACAGATCTCAGAATATCACAACGAATAGAAACTTTTATATTCCCTAAATATAGGATTTATCAAGTTTTACTATTTAATGGAACATCAATGGGAGAAAAGACGCAACAAACACGTTAAACTTAAATTATCTCCGCCCTTCAGGCATTTGACGCAGGGAATACCCACACAAGCTTATCTCAAAGTCGTTTACCGACGCTGGTGGATGCCCTGAACACCCCCACAGGTGTGTGATGGTTCAGAGGTAGACCAGTGGCTAAGAAAGAAATAAGATTGATAAAGATTAAGCCACCCAAAAGGTGGCACGGGCATGAATAGCCCATAAGTGGTGGCCCTTTTGAGCCATTACCAGTATCAATCGTTGATACTGGAGATCTGTGGAGGTGCGACTGCACCCTGCGTGACGGGAGACGTCTCCCGTGAAAGAAATAAGTCAGTGCCTTCAATATATATGAGAAGACGTCTCCCGTCACGCAGGGTGGAGTCGCACCTCCACAGATCTCCAGTATCATCTACTGATACTGGTAATGGCTCAAAAGGGCCACTACTTACGGGCTATTCATGCCCGTGCCACCTTTTGGGTGGCTATATCTTCATCAATCAATCGCCTTCAATATCAACACGTTCGGCAGATGACCGTGTGGACCAATCACTTGTTGAAGGGCACTATAGATTCATAATAGCAAGCAAAATAATGAACCAGAGAGCAGTGTCTGCCTGTAAGGCTCAGCTGAAGGCAATGTTATATATATAACTGCTGGAGATAGAAAATGGTTATTAATAATAATGCAAGAAGTACTTTGATAGGAAAGGATATCCGCACTATGAACGGGATGCATCAACAAATCAAATTATGTAACTAGTTCATCGCAAATTTAAGTTGCTTAGCTTAGAGCTTGTTACTAAACAAATTGTTCTCCAACCCATTGTTAATATATATTCATCAAACTAGTTTATCAAGACTAACTTGCTTAGCCAAATTATTTTTGGGGTTCAGTTACTTCCCGAGGCCATTATGTGTGTAACATTGTCTACTACCGCCCACATGATGGGTATGGGGGGGGGGTGATTAATATTGTTTTGCTGCACGTCAAAAAACTCAATCAAAATATTTATTCAGGTAAAAGTGCATATATAGAAGATGAGTTACAATGTTGGATTTTAGATAGAGCTAGTACATACAATACCTAAAGTCACTAATATGCACAGCGTTTCGGGCACAAAACTTTTATACCTGAACAATACTATACCAAAACTTGTTCAGACTCTTGTATATCTATAAATAAAAAAAAATTCGAAAGTACAGCAAGCGGTCAGCAGGTGTGGGAGTAGGACTGGACTCCCCCAACGTAATACCCCCAACAAGTGCTAGGGAGTGAGGGGGGGTTGATACCTATCAATGGGGGGTTAGCCCCTCGCCCCAGCTGGGGCTGGGAACCTTGAAAGCTGCCAACTACCCACTTATAATCCCTTGATAACGATTGCCAGCTTGGTCAAATGCTTTAAAGCCGTATCAAACGCCCATTTCACTGGGCGTCACGGGTGTACTTAAAATTCAAAGCCAAAACTAAGTTTATTAATCAACATGACGTTTAATTAATATAGCGATACGTGACAACCATACATAACCACCCTCTCGTTTAGTGCTACACCTTGCATATTCGTTGCCATAGTTTTCTTCCTACAGTAGCTAATGTAACGTAGAATAAACCAAGTAACGTTTGAGATTTTGAGCTAAAAATAATAATAGAGCACGCGGAGGGAGCACACAGGTCACAACCAGGCGGGTTAATACCCAACTTGGCCGTGACCAGACGCAGCAGGAGTGCCCGACACGCCCACTGCGGATCGTTCAGTCGCCTTTCGTTCACGTACTCGTCCAAGCTGCCCCCCGCAAGGCTATGGCGTTCTATTCAACGCAATACACCACCATGAGGGCGGGAGTGGCTAGCGAAGGTGCGGATACATGAAGAGTGTGGTGGTAAATACGTCAGACCAGAGGATGTGGCGGCGCCGGAGGAGCTTCAAGCCAGTCAACGTCCGGGCACGTCGCCCACACACACACTATACGCCTTACATCATACTAAAAAAGAAAATAGTTGAGGCGCTGTGATATGTGGAGTGCTTGAAAGTATGTCGCGTGATCCTACGAGACGTCCCGCGGACTGACGCTGAATCCAGTGTGAGGAATTTGAGTTATGTGCAGCGGCCAGCAAAGATAAGTGGCGTCGCTACCCTGCTGACTAGTCGCGATGGTTGTACCCAAAACTGTTCTGCTTCTCTTGATACTGCAAGATGCAGTAGGTAAGTCCTTCCGTGTTTAACTGTATGGGGGGGGGGGGTAAATATTATTGTATTTTGTATTACGGTCCAGTGACGTAAACAAGCGTGCACGCACGCACGCACTGTACCTAAAGCTTGCAAAGCTTAGTTATCGAGCCTTCTGACTGTACCGTCTTATGCTTACCTTCCCCTGAATTTAATTTAGGCTTCTCATTTGTTAAATTTCAGCACCCAATTCAGTTTTGAATTCAGGTTATATATAAAAAAGACCTATACGCCCATATTTTTTTTTTACCACAGACGTGGCCACACATTTACAATGCTAATCAGCATATATACATTTTCTTCTGTCCCTCCATGGACAGGGTTAGAGATCGTGCTAGGAAGGTTACAACCACACACTGGCTTCGGTAACTGGACCCCAATGACCTTTAAGTTAAGCAATTTTATTTTGTTGTGAACTAGTTACATCAATTTACATTCCCAAAGTTTGTGAGGAACTTCTCACTCACACAACTTGGCAGAAGGAAAATTTATCCAATTGTCGATTTTTTTTGTTTTTATACAGAAAATTGGAAAAATATGGTGTGACTGAGGAATGAGAATTTTTGCGAGCAAAGTTGAGAGTAGTGTGTGTCTGGGGGAAGGAATGTGGATGGTGCAATGAAAGCCCCTATTAGAAAATCACAAGATTGCGAGAGATTCGGCCAAAGTGCTGCTTGAAGTGGTAGTACCTTCAACTCGCTTTATATTGACCTATAAAGTAATAAATGAAAATGCCGTGAAAAGATGTAGCGTGCAAGTCTGAAAACGACAAGACTGGGGGGGGGGGGAGGAGTGCAGCGAGATGGCTTGGTCATGCTGAACGAGTGCATGTTTATACACAGTTCAAGAGTGAATGTGCGGATGAGAGAGAAAGGAAATCAGAGCAGATGAGTAGCCATGTTGAACATGCAATGAATGAACAGTGCACGGAACGTCGTACACAGTGTGCATACTCTGCCAGCAGGAACTGGGTCGTGATCTCGCACACTACGTTATTTTAAGGCCAGTCATTTAAGAGCGTTTCTCAACCGAGGTTCCGCAGAACCCCAAAATAAATAGAGGGGTTCCACAAGAGATGGTGATACATTGGCTAATTCTAATCACATACAAATGTATTTTAGAGTCGTTTGAGTTTATTTTTTCTCATTTAATGTATGAAACGAAAAGACAGAAATCATCTCATTTCAGTCGACAATGAAATTTCTGTGTGTAGTACGACCCGAAATTATTTCAAGGGTACAAAGGTTGGGAAACCAGTAAGTCTTAAGTTCAGACGTGCTGGTTTGAGGTTCCTGAAGCTATGCAATTTCCTCTCTTCTCACATTCTTTAGGGCATCCTCAATCCATCCAAAATTTGCCAGGCTAACTGATTAGATGTCCCTGTATGAGACGTCATCCTGTGGTATTATCATCATACATTGAATACACAGGAACTGGTGTAGGAGTATGTATACAGATTTAGTGTTCCGGCACAAGCTTACTGAAGAACAAAAGAACGAGGAAGGGAGGGTAGAAACATCCTAAGCTACTCTAATCCTCTTGAGATGTACACTATCTTATTGTCTCAATAAACGTACTTGAACACAAACTCTAGAAGACCTATTGGTCCATACGAGGCAGCTATTTTTATCCAAACTCTAGCATATACATGCTTAAAATATGCGTTAAATAACACAGATCCCCTCAAGATGTTACCCTATAATTTGCTCCATAAATCAACCATCTTATTTCCAAACCCTTGTTTACATGTCTTTCCGAACCTAAACCTTAACCAATTTTTATGCTTTCCATTCTATTTGGTGTAGATTAAATTTACTTTTTATCCAATTTTCAAACTTTCCATACATTTATATACTTAATTCATATCACCACTTAATCTTGTGTTTCTAGAGTTTTTTTTTAATCTATTAATAGATTTCTAATTCCTGGGAATAATTTTGCCATCCTTCCGAGTGCGCGTTTAAATATATTTGTCCATTCTGTAGTACAGTGACCAAAACTAAACTGCATGATCTCAAGTACGAGCGATACATTGAGCGAATGAAAGGCTCGTCACTGAAAGAAGTATTTCCTCCACATTCAGAAATGGGGTACTTTTTGACCTAGAATAATTGCAGACATCTGTTAGCAAAATTATGCCTCTGCTTTCAGAATCCTTATGTTATGTTCATAATGACTGTTCTCTTAATGTTGTGCTTGTATGATGTATGCAGGCTTCAGGAACACAAGGCTCATTTTATAGTAAACATTTGTACGCATGGCCCGAAACATCACTGACAACAAGTGTTAATCTGATGAGTAAGCTCTCTTCTTCACTACTGACACCGTCTGCTTTCCTTTATGCTATCAGCACCAAGCCATTTCTTGTTTCAGGGGAAATCGATTACTCTCTCTGGTGTTACGAGTGCGGCACAGGCGTAGCCGGGGAACCCGACTGCGAGGCTTTCGCTCACGCCTCCTCCTGGGCTTCATTCTGGAGGAAATGTCCCAAAGACCACATCTGTGTTAAAACTGTACCTAGCTGGGCTTCTAGTGACGGTGAGGAACCTAAATCCATGTTATATGCTAAGACTATCTCAAATTTAACCATACTTGAATTCTACATGGTATACAGTAAAAATATTAAAATTAGGAATTGAAATTTATATTGACAGTTTTAATAATTAGCCTCCCTTTTTCTAATTCCATGAAACTTGCCTCTATTTTATGCTGTGCTTTTCCATAGAGGATCCCACTAGAACACCTATTGTTGGACCCCAGTTGGACTGTAGTTCAGTTTTAGTCACTGTATAATGGACAAATTCACGTGAATGTGTAAACAGAAGGATAAATTAATCCCCTGTATTAGGAACCTCTTGCAGAGAGATTTAGAAAGCTTTATGTACATTCTCTAGAGAGGCGAAGGGATGATGTGATTTAAGAATACAAATGGGAAAATGTTACAACAATGGGGATATTAATAAGGTGTTAATTATACCAACGCCAAATAGAACACTGGATAAAAACTATACAAGTTTAGTTTAGACTCAAGACTTTAGTAAACATTAGTTTTTAAGTTGGTTTATTGATTACTCGGTAATTTGTTTCGGAAATGTAATATACATTGGGAAAGTTGGTTTATTTCAAGAGAAGGTTAAACATATTTCTGAACGAGTTTGGGTATAAATCGGAGCTGCCCTTAAATTTTCGACCTCCCTCTTTACACTATTTTGCAGAGGAACAACAACAATAATGCAGAATAAACAATGTCAATCTCTATGAAAGACTGTACCGCACCCTCCTTTACCGAGGAGTCTTTGGCAACATGCAACTTTTAAACCAAAGTAAACCAAGATTTCATTACAGCTTTATTACCATTTTCCCAGATTTTATCAAAGATTTTTCCTGCGATAGTACTTGGATGATTAGTTAACAGCGAAGCTCCCGCTGAAACATTATTTTTTTTCCCTCGTATGATACCATTACTGTATTTTGTATATGTAATTTTTTTACACATCTCCCGAAAATGATAACTAATGCTTTTCACCTAACTTTTTCTTCTTCAAAACGAGGTGATCATTAAATATCTTTAGGACGCCTTATTTACTTTACACTTGCAACACTTAAGTACGATAATAAAGTCGAGATTGTTTTCGCTATTGCATAGAGTAGACCAACTTTCAGTGTTTGTGTTTCAAACAAGATGTTATATATTACGAGGGGAAAGGGGAGGGGGTGTCAAGAATCTAGACAGATTTATCACCAGTGAAGGTGGCCCCATCCCACCAAGACGACGACTACAGCTTAAAATCTCAACCATTAACACTAATCTACATTAACTCCCCCCCCTGCCCCGCCCCCCCTCCCCCAGAGAGCTTACGGGCTCACCATAGCCCGTGCTACATGGACACTTCGTCCCGAGTAGCTAAATCTTTAACATACCCCCCTACTCCCAGAGTCCACCCATCCCACCTACAGCCTATCGTTGTGCCCAAAACCCGCACCCAGCCCTTCACACTCCGAACTATCACAACCTCCCAACATTCTGTCGTATATTCAGACCAATTCACCACTTGTCCTGTACAGACCTTCACAAGATCGGCCAAGACAAAAAAAATTGCCTGGCTGTTCTACTTAGGGTCTCTTGGGTACAGTTGGGGGTCGGTCTTACTCGCAATCATAGATCCAGGGTTCGATTCCCGGGCGGGACAAAGGGTTGGGTAAGTTTACTTTTACCTAATGACTCTGTTCGCCTAACAGTAAATAGGTACCCAGGAATTATGCAACTGCTGTAGGTGTTGCATCCAGGAAAAAGGTCAGTAAAGTATACATTTACAAAACTAATTAATGTTACTAATTGCATTATTCAACCACGCGTTACTGTTCTATGCGGCTAATCTACCCAGCGGACATACCAGCCGGAAATTAGAGGGAAATAAGAGGCAGAATTCTGGGTAAAATTAGGCCATGCATACCAGATAAAAGAATCGTGTCCTAACCACTTATAGTTTGCAATCTATTATGAATTTTATTGGTGTACAAGGTGAACTGTACATTCTGTTTGTGATAGGCTTGTGGAGGGTCGATTAGGCTTCTGGTGAGTGGGCTACTCTTGTGGCGGGTGGGCTAGGCTTGTGGCGGGTGGGCTAGGCTTGTGGCGGGTGGGCTAGGCTTGTGGCGGGTGGGTCGGTTAAAAGCAGTCACGAATCTAACACTTCCTTCCCCTCCCTGATGCCGGACAGAGAGTCGGATGGTACGAGGATGTTCCCCGGGGGCCAATCTGCGAGGAACGCCGTTAAAGACGGGCTGTTGGAGTACCACTAACTCCCCGACCATCATGTGCTTCTGCGACACTGACCGTTGCAACGCCGCCCGCACGCCCACGGTTCCCGCCCTGACAGTGGCGGCACTTCTTGCCCTCGGCGCCGTCGTCAGGTGATAAGAGCAGGGGAAAAGAGGAAGGTCGGTGCGGCAGAGGGCGAAGCATCAGGCGCAATTCCCAATGTCTTTCACAGTAACTCAAAGCACAAATGGAATACTCGCCGTAATACATTATAATACGTAATATGTGTTTCACTCCTGTACATTTAAACACAAACATTCGCCGAACATTAAATGTACTTAATTTTCAGATAAATTTTGCCATTTTCAGATAAATTCTAGGTTTGTTTTATACAGGTTTAGTGTATACTAATTAGTTTACTGCTTTGTGTACTGTATTGTATTTAATGTATTTTATTAGATTACTGTACTAATCACTTTTTATCAACATTCATAATCTAGAACAGTTCATTATTTCGTTATATATTTTTCTGAATATTCTATGACGTAAAATTTCACATGCTGCAATACAAGAAATTTTCCAATAAAATTCTATCGAGATGAAGAGAGAGAGACTGTACCTGAAAGCAGCCCATCAGATATCTTTACATAACTAACCACATACCTAAAGATAACTCGCTAGATTACATAAAACCGATAACTGGATACTTTCAAGATAAAAATAAGAAAAACAATGTTTCCAAAATAGATAAGGGCATGAGCACTTTAATGCAGTCATAACCATCCTGAGATGGTCATTCATTTTCTTAAATAAAAACAATGTTGAAATTTGCAACTGTCTTCATTAGAGACCATTGTTGTTATCAATATATGTAGCTAGGAAGAGTAATTTAAAAAAATTATTGATAATTGGATGTAACTTGCCTATATATATAGTTATCTATTTAAATCTGTTTCGAAGAGAAAAAATGCTAAATCAATTAAGAAAAAATACTGGAAGCGAACTTTATCATTTTTATAATTTTTTAACTGCTTTAAAGATTTGTCAAAGTAAATATTAAATTAATAATTTAAAATATTTAAGGGGCATTATTCTACAGCCCTGAGAACTTCCCCGTGTATTTATCATGTCACCCGTTTCATTGAGATAAGTTTGTGGTTACTATGAGTTACTACGCGGGTTTGTTTATCAACAAGGGCCACGCGGGTTTGTTTATCGACACGGGCCACGCGGGTTTGTTTATCGACAACGGCCACGCGGGTTTGTTTATCGACAACGGCCACGCGGGTTTGTTTATCGACAACGGCCACGCGGGTTTGTTTACCAACGTTCCACGTGGGTTTGTTTACCAACGTTCCACGTGGGTTTGTTTACCAACGTTCCACGTGGGTTTGTTTACCAACGTTCCACGCTTGTGGTTACTATGGTATACGATGCCAGTTTCTCTACCAACGTTCCACTAGGGGTTGTGCATCAACACTTCGCTCTGGCTTATTTAATAGTACTTTTTTTTAATGACCATGGTAGGGTGGGTAAATGATTATATTAGCTCTCAAAACACTGCAAGCTTTAGGTAGAGGTGTCTGGAGGGAGTGGAAGGTAGGCGGCGGAATGCAGTATGCGCAAGATGGCAAACAAATCATAATGCTTTATACGTGAGTTGGAGGTCACTGACGACTTGCTGGTCTCTTGCACCAGATCCTCACCAATGTCTGGTTCCCTTCCCCCCCCCCCACTTTTGACGCAGGTGGTACACCGGTTTGAACGATTACATTTCAATTTTTTTAGAGACAGTCTTTATGTTGGCGAATGTTGCATGTGCAACTAAGGGTATCCGGCGTCTGCACGTCTCAAGAAATTAGTTATGCACCTCCAAATTATTTCCCCCCGTGTGTACGCGTAAAACTGTCTACTTTAGGTTTGCCGGATATACCGTCAGATCCTGAACGCACCCTTTCAGCCAGTGATAATCAACTGCAATGATTTTCAACCTTCTTTCCCAAAAAAAACAAAACATCCCATTACCATTTTTTTTATAAGGTTGCTTCAGTCAGTCTTCCCTAGATCATTTATTGAATTCGCTCAACTTTCAGTGTGATGCAAGTGCGTGAATGTGTACACAAAGACACTGGCCATCAACACTCACCGTCTCGAAGCAGGCTTGAATCAGGTTGGGTGGGAAGAAGTTTCTGGAAGAAAGGTAGACAATCATTTATATGTAGACATCACATTTGCTCTCAACATTATGTCAAGTGAAGACAGGTTCAATTGGTGCTTGTAGTGTGATAATTGGGGACAGAAATACTTCTCATAAACAATGCATTTCACATGTGTAATGTAGTACGGGTGTGCTTATAACTTTATATTTAGTGAAGATAATTTTTTTTTCATATTGGTTGACATTGATTTAAGAGTATTAGACTAGAAGAGGCCCCTAGACAAATGATCTTTTTAGCTTGTTTGGGTGCAAGTTAAGATCAGCCACCGGCTAGACTGGAAAGGGTGAGGACTGAACAGGTTTGGTGCCGGCATTAACAAGGGGAAAATATCGACAAGAGTCCTGTTCAGAGGGGAATGTTGTAACTGGTCTGTGTCAAAACTTGCTGGCTTTAACACGAGATTATACAGAGGGGGGGGGGGGGATGGGGTCAGAGACAAGATAACTCAGATATTCACGAGTCTGGGGCTAGATTCACTTAGTTACGCAAACACTTACGAACCTGTACATCTTTTCTCAATCTTTGGCGGCTTTGTTTATAATTATTAAACAGTTAATGAGCGCCGAAGCACCAGGAGGCTGTTTATAACAATAACAACAGTTGATTGGCAAGTTTTCATGCTTTTAAACCGTTTAATAAATGTAACCGAAGCCATCAAAGATTCAGGAAAGATGTAAACGTTCGTAAGTGCTTGCGTAACTGCTTCGTGAATCTGGCCCCTGCAGGGGCCAGATTCACGCTAAATCAGATTCATTCAGATTAGAATCACGCTAAATCAGATTAAATCAGATCACGCTAAATCAGATTGATTTAGGCTCCATGGAGCCTAAATCAATTCCCCCACTCCCTCCATGAGGCCTAATTGTCCACTATTTATGTGCAGTGTAGACCACAAGTTCCTTATTGAATTTTATATCCAAGATTACATTTATTATTTTAGATTTAGTGCGAAGCTGGTAAAGCTTATGTGATTTAAATTAATACTAAGCTGGTAAAAGCTTAGCGTGTTGGTAGTGAATAATAAATTTTTAGTATTTAAATTGACACTTGTCAATCCAATAAATGAAAGTCTGAAACATGATTAGTTTTATTTAATCCTGTCGAACAAATGTGTACTATGTGTACTTATTCCAAGTACACTAGTGCTCCTGTTTCACCCTAACTTCCTGTAATTATTCTAGATTCATTCATATCTAACATATCCTAGGCTTTCGAGTTATCCCAAGTCCAATTTTCTAATTATCATGAGCAGATCAATTTAACTCCCAGTATTTACCTAGTATAATAATTTCTAGTATATATTACCAACTTGGTTAATATATACTGTGCGCCGTGTTGAACTTTTATTCAAGTTTAAAGTGAACTAGTAAAGTGTGACTAGTACGCAAAAGTTTGTTGGAAGCATAAGTATTTTTTACAATTAATATTTTCTATTAGTAAATAACATTAAGCCCAAGTCGAAATTTTGTTACGATTTTTAAGAAGGGACAAGATTACATCATCATCATTAAATAAGCCCACGTAAAAGATAACTAATACCGTCATTCCTTTTCCCTGCTACAACCACTCCACATCTTTTATGCTCAACAAGAAAGCTAAGAACAAATCCACAAGGGTAGTGACGAGGATTCGAACCTGCGTCCGAGAGCATCCCAGCCACTGCCTTAATCGACTGAGCTACGATGATCCATTTGATGCATCACACTATTGTGATTTCTGTGTGTAATGAAGTAAGGGCGAAGAGGGAGAACGTCCTATTGACATAGTTCGAGTGCATGGGGGGGTGGTTTAGTTTAGTTCATTTATTATGGAGGGCGTTGTGTAAAACCCTGGTTTGTGTCTCAGAGGCTGCAGGATCCAGCAAGTTCAGTAGAACTTCTGTTTCCACTCTTTTGACCATGTCGTAGCTCAGTCGATTAAGGCAGTGTCTGGGATGCTCTCAGACGCAGGTTCGAATCCTCGTCACGGCCATTGTGAATTTGTTCATTCGATGCATCACGCTATTGTGATTTCTGTGTGTAAGAAAACTAAGAATAATGGAGCCACTTCTCACCTGGGCAGGTCCATGAGGAGGTCAGGAGTGTAAACGCTGCGCGCCTCTCCTGCCTTAGTGATGCCTTCGTCGGAGCCCTTACCAGGGTGGATGCTCACCACCAGGATGATGCCCAAGATTACCGCCAGCACCGTCGTTGTCATGTAGTAGGTCACAGCGCGCAGGCCGATCTTCTTGGATAGGGACAGATCTAGGGAACCTGGAGGATACCACGGGAAAGTTGAGGAGGCTGTGTGGCTCTGGATTGGTTGTAGATGTTGATAATTTAAGGGTCTGGACGATTCACGATGAAAGGAAAAAACACGGGAACACATTTAGATACCGGGAAGACTTCCAGAGGCCAGATACAACTCTTTGATAAAATAAAACCTTAAAAGACAGTTCTAGCAACTACTAGAATTCTCGACTAGGACTTGCCTATTGCGGAGACGAGGGAGGAGACTATGAGGGGGATGATGAGGGCCTTCAGAGCCCGAAGGAAGAGCTCTCCAATGTAACCCACATACATGACCTCCCGCTTCGTCCATCGCTCCTCGCGAGAGTACCTGTGGTGTGAATAGGATGATGAATATACCTTTTATTATCCGGTGAAGTTGCTCATCTGGCTATATCGTTGCTATATTAGGTGAAGATTATATAGTAAAGCAGAAGGCTCCCACCCCTCAAGTTTTCTGACAGGAAATACAATGTGTGAAGGATTATATATCACTGAAAGTTTTGAAGAAACGGTAAACTATTAAACAATCGTTACATTAACCCTTGCAGGGCACAATTATCTTGGCTCTGGCTCACGACCAACACGTCGAAGTCACCAAACATTATCACCAACAACTGAATTTGGTATGAAGTGTGCGCGCGCATGTAATTAAAATCTTTTACTTACAAATTAATTCATCCATTTGGAAATAATTTAAAGATTCAGAAAAAATCATATTTACTTTTACCTGGCAGTGCTTTTTCTCCTCTTTGCTAGTTTTATTTAGAAAATAGGGCAGGTATTGTTATCTGAACACTATTGCCCTAGATATTTAATTTACTGGATGTTGCAACAGCATGCAAGAGGCCTCATTCCCTTAAAAGTTCGACGCCTGAGATCAACGGAGGTGCTCTCCCTGCAGTATGAATAGCACTAAGATAATTCTTTTGCTTAAACTTTGCTTCTATCTATTTTACCTGCGTATGAGTCATTAGTGACAGCCATATACGCTGCAATAGCTCTCTGGAGTGTACATTGACAAGGATGTATTTTGTAATACGCCCAGCGTATTAGTGGCTTCATATAATTTACAGTATTGTGTAACTATGACTACCACAATATCACGTTTCAAACTTTTTTTTATATATAAACACAGTATTATTATTATTGTATTATATGAATGGATTTCAGGGATCTCCGTCTCTTTGGGGAGTGCATTAACTGATAAAGTAGAAGACCTTTAACATGGAAATGACAAGAAAGCAAGAGTATCTAAACTAATCTTGCTACTACTGCAAAACGGTAATTAGTATCCAAGCCGTCTAATGGTACGCAATACTACGATGAAAAGAAAATCAGAATTAGTACTGTACAGTAGTTCTGAAGGGGACTAAAGCAAGAGGCAGAAGACGCAGGAATTCTCACCGCAGGATGATTCCCAAGACGGCACCGCCAGTGACGCCAGACACCGTCAGGATGGGCAGGAGGTTGGCTCTAATCCCATCCTTTATCGTTTTAGGGTTGCAGGAGAACTTCCGCGACATGGCGGTGGTGGTGAGGCCGGAGGCGGCGGCCGTAGCAGGAGTGGAGGCCGAGGCGCAGGGGGCAGTGGTTGTGGTGGTGGTAGTGGTCGTAGTGGTGGTGCGGCCGTCGGAGGGAGACCACACGACCGTCTGCTGGCCCGAGCTGAGGAAGACACGAGAAATATAATTAGGAAATCTACTTCATAATGGTCCAGGACGGACCGAAACGTCATCGTCCCTTCTAGTGTGTGGTCTGGTCAACATAATTAGGAAATGTCACATGCAATACTTCATAGGCCAATTTATTGGTACAAGATATTATACTGTGATCATATGAGCTGCCTCTGATGAACTGTAACAAGCGCCTCTCTCCATCCCCTCCCTCGCCGTCTCATCACTTATTCTATTACCAGCCAATAACCACCACCACCCCGCAGATTGGCAAGTTCCTTCAGGATAATTTTATTGTTATTGGTGTAAGCAGCAGCTGACTGGTGGTCGTAACGGGTGGTTAAACGCAGCCTAGTCGAGCTCCGCCATGCTGCAGGCGCTATGTTTTTATACATTTCAAAAGTGCAGCAAGCTGGTGGCGACTGTTGTGGCCGTGTGCTTAGTTTGGGTCAGTTAGTGAGTTTTTTCAGTACCAGGAAGTACCGAGGCGAGGGACACGGGGTGGGAGAGGTCAGGGAGAAGAGATTGTAGCAAGTTGAATGCCTGGAAGGCACTGGTCTGAAGCTTCGTTGTCTTCCGGCCGTATGTGTGTATTGGGCTGGAGGACGGGTTGCTCTATTGTCGCCTTACCTGGCGATTGATTGATTGATGAAGATTAAACCACCCAAAAGGTGACACGGGCATGAATAGCCCGTAAGTGGTGGCCCTTTTGAGCCATTACCAGTATCAAGAGCTGATACTGGAGATCTGTGGAGGTGCGGCTGCACCCTGCGTGACGGGAGATGTCTCCCGTGCTTACCTGGTTTGCACGCTCACCCTATATACCCCCCCCACCCCTTTCCTCCTTTCCACAGGAGGCTAACCACAGCCCGTGCTACTTGGAACTTATGTTCCGAGTAGCTGAAACTAAACAACAACAACCCCCTCCTTGCAAGTCAGTCATGGAGCTTTGCAATTACTTTATCCACTCCCGTTCTCCTCAGGATATCCTCATAATGTATGCAAAGTTTGCCAGTGCAGGCTACTGATCACATGGCTCTGTATGACCAACCATCCTGCAAGAGGTGGGGGGAAGAAGGAGGGGATCTTACTACTATTACAATATATATAATCGTTCATATAAGGCAGATGCATAAATGCAGACTTACACACGTTTAAAACAAAATTACAAGTCAAACCCATCTTCATTCAAGGCAACAAGCCACTCGCATCAGGCAGTTTCTCTCACACACGCTCATAACCACTTGCTCATCCGTGACCTCCACCGACATTATCTCTAGTATAACATGGCTCTATTTTCCAGAGCATTAGGAGCTTCTGCTGCTGCTTTTGTTCCTCTTCCTGGTGCTGCTCGTGGTGCTTCTCCACCTGCTGCTGCTACTGCTGCTTTTGTTCCTCTTCCTGGTGCTGCTCATGGTGCTTCTCCACCTGCTGCTGCTGCTGCTTTTGTTCCTCTTCCTGGTGCTGCTCGTGGTGCTTCTCCACCTGCTGCTGCTGCTTTTGTTCCTCTTCCTGGTGCTGCTCGTGGTGCTTCTCCACCTGCTGCTGCTACTGCTTTTGTTCCTCTTCCTGGTGCTGCTCGTGGTGCTTCTCCATTTGCTGCTGCTTCCTCGCCGCCATGTCCGTTGTATCAACGTCGCCGACTCTCACAGAAGATACACAAGTGAAGCTCACCGGCCGCCGGAGCGTCAGCAGGCGTGGGCGGCTCCTGCGTTACTTCACCCTCAAATATAACAATAACCAGAAATGATGGTGCATGGCGCTCCAGGCGTGCATGATGCGCTGGAAGCCACAGCTGAGCATGTCCTGCTGACCTCACTTCCACTCCGTAAACTACAGACACAGTATTACACACGACGAACACGTCATCTACTTATTCACGGGAGACACCTCCCGTCACGCAGGGTGCAGTCGCACCTCCACAGATCTCTAGTATCAGCTCTTGATACTGGTAATGGCTCAAAAGGGCCACCACTTACGGGCTATTCATGCCCGTGCCACTTTAATAGCGCTCTTAATTGGTGTTTTTTTTTTATAATAGTTAATGTCACATGGTGTACAACTTTAGCTCCTCTGACCTCCACAGATCTCCAGTATCAGCTCTTGATACTGGTAATGGCTCAAAAGGGCCACCACTTACGGGCTATTCATGCCCGTGCCACTTTAATAGCGCTCTTAATTGGTGTTTTTTATAATAGTTAATGTCACATGTACAACTTTAGCTCCTCTGATGCTGTGTAGGAACCAAAACAGTGTGCATTTACACGCATTAATATTATACATTAGAATCAAGATTTATATTACGTGAAGCTATTAAGATCGCCGGGCGTTCGATTAGCCACACAAGGTTCCCCCTCAAGGGAAGGGAATTGTCGGGAAAGCGCCAAGCCATGACAACTATATAGCACTGGGAAGGGATCAGGATTTGGGATGGGACGGGGGGAAGGAATGGTGTCCAACCACATGGACGGTCGGGGATTGAACGCCGACCTGCATGAAGCGAGACCGTCGCTCTACCGTCCAGCCCAAGTGGTTGAGGTCCCCCCGCCCCCCCCAAGTGCTGCCGTACTGTGTGTTCCAGTCCTGTTCCAGTGGTGCCAACCGAGCCTTTATTCACGGCACTGGAACACTGAAACTGCCGTGACCGACACACGCGATTAGCTCTGTCGGTCAGGCGTCTCGAAGACTGTACCAAGCGACATAGTCGGGGGGATAATCACACCTGGCATCGTTCTCAACAATCAGGGAACCCGGGGAACAAGAAATACTTGGGCACATTACCTTGCACCTAATGCCTCTGTTCACCTAGCAGTAAATAGATACCCGGGAGTTAGACAACTGTTGTGGGATTGCATCCTGGGGGAAGGTCAGTAGTTCAACCTTTGACAGCAGCAACAGCATATATAACAGCAACACGGGACACAGCACCGCTCCTGTGCCAGGTAAGTCCACTACAGGCTTACCATAGCTACTTGGAACTAGTTCCCAGTAGCTCAATCTATAACAGCAGCATACATATACCAGCAGCATACATATAACAGCAGCATACATATAACAGCAGCATACATATAACAGCAGCATACATATAACAGCAGCATACATATAACAGCAGCATACATATAACAGCAGCATACATATAACAGCAGCATACATATAACAGCAGCGCTTGCCCCCACAGGAAGCCTTATCGCTCACACTCTTTTTCCCACTTGGATGAATGTGTTGCATCACTCAGGGTGTGGGCGGCACTCCGGGCGCCCACACAGTATGGCTGGCTGGCAATGAGGTCAGACCGAATCTTACCCACGATTATAAAGGTCGTTAAAGGGCGTTAAAGTCTTCAACTGATTGATGAAGATTAAGCCACCCCAAGAGGTGGCACGGGCATGAATAGCCCGTAAGTGGTGGCCTTTTTGAGCCATCACCAGTATCAATAGCTGATACTGGAGATCTGTGGAGGTGCGACTGCACCCTGCGTGACGGGAGATGTCTCCCGTGAATGTATGCCACCCCAAGAGGTGGCACGGGTATGAATAGCCCGTAAAGGAATAACTGTGGAAACCATTATTATATACAGGTGCCATTAGAGACAAGATAACTCCCGGTTTACGAAGAGAAAACTGAGGTAATACAAATTTTTAAGGAGATAGACAAGCCAATTATTATAATTATCACAATTAGAGCCCACGCCGGAAGACTGTGGCATCACAGATCATTGTGTAACATACAACGGTCTGGTAAATGAGAATTCACAGTTGATAAAGAACACAGGTTCATGGAAGGTATCCAACGCTTCAAGTCGTGCATTGTTGAGGGTTCTGATAGGACAGTCTGATTCGTTCTCTTATTTGCCTTCTGGAATTCAGGATTCACATCCGAGGCGGGACAGAAATGGTTGGGCGCGTTTCGTATCATCTAATGATCCTGTTTTTAATGAACAAATCCACAAGGGCCGTGACGAGGATTCGAACCTACGTCCGGGAGCATCCCAGACACTGCCTTAATCGACTGCCCTTGTGATTTGTTCATTTGATGCATCACGTTAGTGTGATCTGTGTGTAATCCTGTTTTTACCTTGTAGTAAATAGGTTCCCAGAGGTTAGTTTGTGGGGTTGCATCCTGGTGAGGGCCAGTAATTCGACCATGGGAAGGGAAGGGATCTCGATACAAGCATAACGTGTATATACGCAGGCTGCCTGTCCCGACAATACATTAATAATTATGAGCAAAACCAAAATGTAACTAGTGTGATAGGGTGATTTCCCCCAGCGTCCTGTTATAACCGACTATGCAATTTTGCAATTAAACCTTAATTCTCTCTACAATTAATTAATACCTGAAGATAGTCAACCTTAAATCATTCGAGGTTTCTTACTCTCGATTGTTAAAATCTGTCATGTATGACTGCGTATAGTAATTGGTCATCAAAAGATTAACATTCTTGTCAAACTTGGCACTTGCTTGTGCAACAAGTTGAGGTTGAGCGTCGTAGGGCTGCTGGCAACCAACCCTTTACCTGCCGAATTGTGCGAAATGGTATCCAGCTCTGTACCTATACTCTTGTCAAATCTACCGGTGTAAATAGGCCTAGACTTGAATGGTCGGTTTCGATTAGCTCCCTGTAAGAACCTAGGGAACTGGTCCTAAGTCCCTAGGGACTAAGGACTTCAACACTGCCTGGAGACCTTTTACTCTCCCGCTCGCTAAGAAAATGCCTCCCCCCCCTTATTCCTAGAGCACGGATAACTAGCCCCATCTCGCGTAGCATTAACTTACGATACCTAAAAAAAAAAGGGGGGGGGGGCGGTTTAGAAAGCACTCTGGAATCTGCATCCATCCAGCACTACACCACAGAACAGAATTAGGTCAAAAGCAGATTCAAAAGAAGGCGCCAGGAAGACTACCCGAACCGAATTAAGGAAACCTCAACATCGCTACTCGACCAAATCAAGTCGACAACAATATAATTTGTGGTAATCAATCGCCACTGCC